CCTTTTGCCTATGCTCTATCCCTGTTCCTTTTTCTCTTTCCTGATCATGCTCCAGAATCAGCCATCACCAAAAAGAAAACAATGTAAAAAAAAGAAAAAAAGACTCCTGCTAATGCATAATACTTTTTGACTGTGAAAGTGTACAAATAATTTAGAGCTGCTTAGGTAAAAAAAAAAATAGCATTAAGCAATATTTTCAAACTTTAAGTTTGTTAACTGCTTGTACATTGTACCAAATATTACAAACCTTACTGTACTTACCAAGGGTACAGATAGTGCTTTTAGCCAAATGAACCCCGAGCTAACAATAGCACTGCGATGCTACGGACATAAAACAGAGTCAGTTTACACACCGTTTGTTGAAATGTAAACACATGTCGATGCACCATTAAATTACAATGACAGAAATCTCATCTGAAACAGCCAAACCGTTTTCAGTTTGGAAAATATGTATGTCTTCATAGCTTAGAGTATAAAGCTGATTGACAAAATACACTTGGCAGGCCTTTTAAAAAAAGTTGTAATTAGTCAACTATTAAAAAGTCAAGGTAATTGAAGTTGAGATGAACCACCATCTCCTCTCTTCAGCACGCCGCTGTAAGACACGCTGAGATAGGAGGCCCTTTGAAGTTCAATTGCCGCTCCAAAAGTAAACTTCATGCACAAAGTCTTCCGTTCTGTGATTATTTGATTGTTGTTTACACGGGGCCAGAAAACAGATGAGAGGTCATCTCAACCCGCTGCAAAAAAGGCCAGTGTTGTTCAATTCAAAGACAGCAACAGGAAACAGCTTTTATTTGAATCATTATCTACACGTGTGATCTTTACTGTGCAGATACCATGCAGTGTTTACTTTATACACACTCTACGTGCCATTTCGGAAATGGTAGTAATTCTTAGTAATTCACAAATGAATGGAAAACACATTCAGATTTAACAGCTGCAGCAGAGAAATATATGGATGTATCTCCCAGGTTTTGTTGGGTATTATTCAATATGCTTATCTTCATGCATTAGGGATCCAGGAGTATGTGGAGGCCGCCTCTTTCCTGCACTATATCCGTCATCGCAGCCTTATCAGCCTGGAGGAGATCAACGCCAGGCTGGTGTTCATGAAATCAGAGAAGGAAGATTCTGAGGTAACTTAAAAAAAGGCTTTCTGGTTAAGTTGCATGCTTGTTAAATAGGCCTAATTCTTATTTTTGTGTTTTTTCTTTCCAATTTTTCAAAGATTTAAATGTAGTCATTTTGGGAAATACACTGATTTGCTTTCTTGCAATGACTTTGATATAAACCACTCTCATGTCAGTATAGTTTATATGAAGTTACAGCCAGCAGGCCAGTTTCACATTCAGTGTACAGACATCAGAGTAATATTGAGCGCCTCATCTCACTACAGCTAAGAAAGCATTTAAATGCGTTCTCTCAACTGTTTCTTTAAAAATATCGTTCTTTTGTATGAAGCTTTCAAACCAGTAGCACTTGCACTCAAAGGCAAGATCGGTTGGTACTCTGTGTTGCATTTATAAGCATTATGTGTCATTATGTCATTTTGATCCACTCAGCCTGGTGTTTTCAAAAATAGTAGCTGCCTGTTGATGCAGACAAAATTGCTTGAACTTCAACATGTGTAGTAAAAGCATCATCATGCTCGAGAAAAAATTGACTTTGCTTATTTGTGGCTCCGGGCTTTTATAATAATAATGCAATTGTGGCTAGACATAAGTGCCTTGACAGTAAGGCAAAAGTTACTAAAATATTATGCTGGATACAACAAATGATAATAAAAACAAAAATCAAGAAGTTAGACTAGAAGCAGAGCTATACAACATAAGTCACCTTTGGTAATCATTGTTTTTAATGATTAATATTGAAAGTAAATCCTGAAGGGTAAGAGTAGGGATCTGCAAAATCTGCCTCGAAGCTTTGAAAGAAAATCATCCAAATAAGTATTGTAATCTTTGTCAATGTGGACGTTTATGTTGTATTCTTCCTCACCATGTTTCCCTCTCAGGGCCCTGCTGACGCCCTGCAGCCAGGGGGCCAGGTGCTGACCTTCCAGGTGTCGCCCTCCGACTACCTGCTGGGCGTGGCAGACCTGACGGGCGAGCTGATGCGGATGTGCATCAGCAGCGTGGGCAACGGAGACATCGACACGCCCTTCCAGCTGAGCCAGTTCCTGCGGCAGATCCACGACGGCTTCTCCTACATCGGGAACACGGGCCCGTACGAGGTCTCCAAGAAGCTGCACGTGCTTCGCCAGAGCCTGGGGAAGGTGGAGGACGCCTGCTACGCTCTGCGCGTCCGCGGCTCCGAAATCCCCAAACACATGCTGGCTGATGTGTTCTCCAGCAGGACGACGCACATGGAGCCAGAGGAAGGAGTGGTTTAAATCCTGCACAGCTTCGACATCATTTATGTTCTCTTTGGTGTCATTGTCTCCCCTGGTTTGGTTCAAGTTTACATTTATTTTTAATGGGATTTGACATGTTTGATATGTTCTGGCTTTTTGTTTTTTGTTATTACAGTAAAAATGCTGTTACAATAGAATTTTTTTATGTGATAAAGATCTGATGACTTCATTTGTTTTGCATGAATAAAAGAATTCTATGCCAAATATGTCATGCTCTCCTAGTTTTTTAAGCTGCTTTGATAGTGTGTGTTTATTTTACTTTCTCTATCAGACACAGATAATCTAAGGTAGAACCATTGGCTGCCTGCACTCACTGCATACTGTGTGGAGGAGGAACATGTGACCTTTGTACATTGTACGTGCCTATTCTGTGGCTGGCACACACAGTCCTCATTCTACCCTCTTTAAACAATCCTCACCTCGCTGCTATCACGTACATTCTGAATCAGGTTTGGAGCATATTTAGACAATCTTCTGGCTGATATCCTGCTGTTTTCTCATCGACTGATTGTGGTTATGATATGCCTGCGTAATATATAATCAGTAACAGAAGCCCTTGTTCAGAAATAATTAATTTGAAAGAAAATTATACTTGTGAGTCTGATTAGTCAATATGAGGTCCGGTTGTGCTTAAAGGCTTGTAATTGCTAATCTATGAGAACATCATTGGGGGCTTTATGATGTATAATGTCTGTCTCTGATTGATTCTGCTTCAGATATAGGGATGTAAGACAGTTGGCATTTTGTTGATCAATAGTTTTATAGTCATACACAAATGAGATCATCTGTCATTTCATTCCTTTTGTGTGACAGGATATAATGAGTTCAAGTGTTATACGAGTCTGTCATCTAGTGGCCAATGTCAGTACTACCGATATATATTATAAGAGCAAATGCTTATCCATAAAACAGAAACAATCTTGAAGAAACAAGATCAAATGAATTCAATAACACTACAGATTATAAATATACACTGTATAAAATAAATTACAATGCCTGCGTTGAAAAAATTCAACCGCCGGGCTTTTTCTGATTTGCTTTTTGTTGCATGAATCATTACATTAGGAAATGTCGTGCACTAAAGGTTGTCCCAATACTATTCATTGATTTATTTACTTGTTTTATTTATATTTATTTATTTTTTGTCTTTATTATTATTATATTTAGTTATTTACCTTACAGATAAACATTTATTTTTACCATTGATTTACCATATTTATCTATCCTCTTTTCCTCCTTCTTCTAACTCTCGCCTACCTGTTTGCAATCTCCTATTCTGATATGCTGTAAAATACTTATTTTCATGTTTCAAAACCTGAACAACAACAAAATATTAGCACTTAAATGTTTTTTTTGCCAAAAGACATCAAGTGCTCTTCATATTTAACACCAGAAAGGTGATCTACATGCTGTGTGTGGCCATTGATTTAATCCGTTCTGCCACCCAGCTCTCTTTCCCTCCACAGTGTGGCTTTACTAAGTATAAAGGCTGCACTCTGTGATAAAGAGCTCAGTTCAGCCCACAAAACAGAGTCTTGTCCATCAACTAGCCACACTGAATGAAAGGAACACTTGGATGTGTGGGAAGGAGGTTGAAAAGACTCTGCTCTATGTGGGGTCTCCTCTTATTCATTCCCTCACTTGCATAAACAAAGCAAGACTTGTTAGGATGTTATTGGTGTCTAAAAATATGCAAAAATAACATGCATTTTTGCACCCAAACAATTAGTTGACCTACATATTATTGACAAAAAACGGTTGGGATAGTGTGCAGTGCAGAGACATACACTTTAAAAGGGATTAAATTGTGCATTTCTAATGTATATTTCTTTCTCTACATTTTTTTTCTTTGTGTGCATTTCAATAGGTTACACATAAGTTAAAACAAGTCATTATATTTTAAAGTTTTGCCGACAAAATAAGTTAATGTTAGCCTTATGTTTTTTGGACAATCAAAACAAGCCAATTCATTGTCCGATGTAAACCAAAGACAGTACTGTATATAAAGGAAAGAACCCTCTGATTTCCCAATAGATTCAAGCCATTACATTGGCCCTCTGATTGGTTGATTGGAACCAGCCCTTTGATTAGCTGTTGACAATATCCATTTTATTATCCTGATTAGTCTATTGAAACAAGCCCTCCGATTGGTCTATCTATTGTAACAAGCCTTTTGATTGGCTGATTGTAGATTAAACTGCAACAACATGAAATATATTTAGGAAAGTTATGTTTGCATGTTTTTCCTTTGCTTTCAATTATGATTGAACAAAAAAAAATCTTACTTTGTAATTGATCATTAATGCATGAAAGGGTTGAATGTGCAAACTCTCACATAATGATAATGAGGCCATTCCTAGAGTAAGCTACATAATACGTTTAAGTGTAGTATTGTTTATCTAACTTTAACAGAGTTGGACGTAGAACGACAGCTTTTTTGTGTGTGTTTTTAACACAATATTTTATTTAACTCCACCAGCTATATATGACAATAAACACAGCGTGCGCATAGAGCAGTGTGCATCCTGCCTGCTGCGGTTGTGAGGCGGGCTGAAGGAGTCTGGAGTCAAATTCCAGAACACGTAGGGGCTCCTCGCGCTGCTCCAACACGACGCACAACGAATGGGCGCAGCAGCGAATAACGGATTGCAGATCAACTCATCGATGAGACACTTTCACACTCATTACTTCTGCATTTCCAACATTTACCACTGGATGATTTTCCAACAACACATGAAGACCATTTCTCTCCAGACCGTGTGTTCAAATACGCAACTGGACCCACTTGTTTGCCGCAGAGGAGACAACGCATTGGATCAATACTTGCGTCAGGAAATGTTTATTATGGACAAAGGAACGCGTGTAAAAAAGCCGGCTTCACATGTCATTCCAAAGTTGGGGAGAAAATAACAGCCTGGGTTCATTTTTCCACAACGGAAATGATATCAGTCGCATTGCTTGGCTCCTCTTCTACTAAAACATGGTCGATGTAACTCCATAGTGCCGGGATCTGACATTCTCTGCCCACTAACAGCTAGTTGTTAATGGAAAGATGTTTGCTGGACTAATGGGGCTGGGATGTCACAATAACTCTCTGCTTCACTGCGAAGTCATGGAAGGTAAAACAAACTTATTTTCTACAGCTTCTGTTTCTCACGAAAACCATAGATCTGATGCAGAAGGGAAGGTGTTGGGGATTATGAAGGCTGTTTTAAATATTCCCATGGTTCTTAACATGACTTTGAAAGTAAATACAAACCTAATAAGTAATTGGAATTGAGAATAAACTAGAAAGAAGAAAATACAATAATACAATACAAAGGAGCTTTATTGGCATGACCATATCAAAAAACATAACAATGCAAATACTACAATATTATCTATAAAGGGTACTTATATAAAAGCTTACAGTGGTCACTGGATCTGAATACTGTATTCACCTCTGTTAACCGGTCTAACTAGTCCAAAACAATACCTGCTTTTTGCCCTTTGTTTCTTAATGTCACTGTATACACAACAGTGTGGCTTAATCTGTGTTCTCCACTTTGACAATCACCACAGCTTTGTCTTTTATACAAAAATTGAGTATGTCTTTGAATCATTCAGGTCATATAGTTCAAAGGGTCCCTGACAGTCAGTGATGATTGCAAAGTAACAAAATACTTGTGAAAGATTTGTTTCCCTCAAATAACAATTTGGAGTAGTACAGTATGAGCACCCAGCTGTATATGATCTATCTTGCGTAACTTATTTGCATTTGCGCCCACTGTTAGATATTTCAGTTTCTGATAGGATGCCTGTAATAACTTGTTTTCATTCAAATCTTGGCATACTTAAACTTTCTATAATCAAGTTATAACCTTAGTGTGTTTGAATCTTTACAGTAGCTGCACATCTTTCAACAGTGACACGGGTTGGCCCTTCTTGTCTTCATGTTTAGAGAAAAATATTCTTGTCAAACATGTAACCAGTGTGAAAGTACAGCTAACCAACTCCCAATGTAGGATTACTTCAGCATCTAAAAGAAAGACCAGCCTTCTTACACATATTGTTTACATACAAAAATAGGTTATAAACAGCATCTAAAGTCAAAATGACTCATTTCGTGTGATGGATGTTGACGTTAAAAGGTAATGCAATTAAAAAATATTAAATCATATTTTAGTATTGTGGGTGTAGTCATTTTAACCATGCCAGTCTTTTTCTCGCTGCTTTGTCTTCACTCCACTAAGCTCCACCATATTCAGCTAATTTATGATCCTTGTGTGACCAAACAGGAAGTGCAGAGCTGTTTTATTTTAAAGTCTCACCAGAGCAATGCAGCGAAGGTCTTAAAAAAAATACATTTTCCAGATAGATAGAATTACTTCTTGGGTCACCATCTGTCATATTCACGGTCCAAAGACTTTCACTTCCTTATTCCTGTTGCTGTAGTCGGTCACAAGTGGCGAAGTGTTGCACATCTGCCGAGCAGCACTGCTTCTCAGGAGGCTGCTGACATGTAGATCTGCTGGTGTGTGTGTGTGTGGTGTGTGTGTGTGTGTGTGTGTGTGTGTGTGTGTGTGTGTGTGGTGTGTGTGTGTGTGTGTGTGTGTGTGTGTGTGTGTGTGTGTGTGTGTGTGTGTGTGTGTGTGTGTGTGTGTGTGTGTGTGTGTGTGTCTGCTGAGCTTGTTCCTCAAACGTTTGTGTTTTTATGAGATCCTCTGCATTCCTCTTCTCTGTGGCCGAAGCTCTTTCGACAGCCAATGGGCCTGTTTAATCTCCCAAAGGTAAATAATCCGGCCTCCTCTGTCTGAACGCTTCGTTTTCCCACACTTTGTACTCAGAATTAGCAAGTTTCAACTAGAAAGTTGTAATTGTCGCAGTGTGGATTATTCAGACTCCAGATTTGAACTACCTTTAGTCCTCCCTGGCTTGTTTGCGGTTTCCAGATGTGTGGACTCGAGTCACATGACTTTTCATCGAGTAAGACTACTACTTTTACAACAATGAATCTCATCTTCTCTTGAGCTTTTTACTTAAAAATAATAATGCCTTCCCCCAAGTCCATATATTTAAAAGTAAGTTATTTAAAGTGTGCATCAAATCAATACAAGCTTACACTTTCGCTATTCATTCAAAGCAATTTGACACTGGATTTCCAAGATACACTTTGTTTGACCCAACGCTATCCAATCAAGATGCAGGAATAGAACTATAAAGACCTAACCTTGGTTAGCATTATGCCAAATGTGCTGATCGGAGGTTATGGACTGGGGCCCCATTATGTCTTGTTTAGGACTGAAACTGAAAGTTCAGGACTTGGCGGTCTTGAATGGGGACTAACTTCTGACTTGCAAAAACAATGACTTCATCCCACCATTAGCTGTTTCTGCCGGAATTCCTGACAAACTATTTCGGCACAAAGCCTGGCAGGAAGCAACAAATGACATACCTCTGAAGGGCTTCAACCGAGAAGTAGATGCCCCCAACACACACACAGACAGACATGCACAATGGGCCCTGAGGCATTTCCTTCCCCTTTAGTGAGAAGAGCCCTCTTTGAGTAATCGAAGCATTCAGAGGATACAGTAGCACTTTCGATCAACAAGTCCTTCCCCTTTCAATTCCTGGGCTTTTTGACAATGTGGAGTAGCTACATATTATATTTCTTGTCCACACCAGATGGTAGACGGTTGTCTTTGGTACTGAGGATAGTGTTGGGTTACTTAAATTGGTTATGGAACAGTGGCCACGTCTGCATTGAAACACTAATGGAGCTGCTTGTAACCTGAGCTTGTAGCGCACAGGGGTCCCAGTGGACAGAAGACTCTACGCACACATACATGGGTACCAAAGGAACCCCCCTATGTTACCCTTGCTAAAAACCCTGCTTTCCCACCAGCCTAACATCCAAACTCTCCCTTAAGTGGTGTCCTTTTGTGTCTCTTCCTCTCCAGTCACATGGGAGGATTAGGAGTGACATCACTCGAGGTCATGGGTGTCTCTTGTTTCTTTGTAGTGGTCTTGGTTTGTTTGATGCCCTGCATTCCTGTCTTGATATACAGCTAGACACATACTTTAAATAACTGTGATAGTAATACAACATTTAAAAAAAAGTGTAACAGGGTTTTACAATGATAGTAGTCTGAATGCCCCCAGTGTTTCACTATAAGCCCATGTGTCTCTGTGTGTGTGTGTGAGTGGGAAGAGAAAATTGAGAGCCAGAAGTGGAAGAGAGAGCGGCGCAGCTGTACACAAAGGGGCTGTTGATACCCAACGTTTCAGCGTGTCTCCCTCTCTGAATCCTACACATGATATGTGGTATTAATCATGTGGAGCTGCAGCAGGTGCTCTGAAGACACACTTTATCATCCTGCTCCATGTTCAGCCCAAATTCTGTTTACACTGATGTTTTACCCTCATTGTTAAGATTGGCCATATCTACTGCAGTAGTTTTGAAACTATTTCTTTCATGGCCCCACCCATCATAAAGCTTTGATATTTTAGTCATTGAGTAACAATATCAGGGAAATTAGTTACATTATTAAGAACATGACTGCATGTTTATTTACATTGCTCTGCTGTCCAAACACAAATTAAACTTTTCCCAATATCCAAAGTTGTTGCACACAAACAGTGGGACATTATTGATTTTAAATGATGTGTTTGCTTAAATGTTTCTGTTTTGGCCCTAATCTGAACCTCTCAATTTCAAAAGCTGCACTGATCAATACTATGTATCAAATCAAATAACAATGAATCAAATGACTGTTTACATAAGTAATGAGAGTTGCCAATATACACAAACTCAACTATAAGGGCTCTCGGTGAGGTTGGACCTCCGTCAAAGCTTTTGCCTTAAGTGAAAAATAATGCGTCTTGTGCTTTATCAAAGTGTACTGGTACTATACTTAAAGCTTGTTCCATTACCCCAAGTCTTTCTTACTTTCCCTGTAAAAGTCCAGCCTGTAATACACAATGTTGCACCCCACAGAAAGAGAGTTTGTCATTTTGCTATCTTTAACTTAAATCTTAAAAGCCTTGCAAACATCAAAGCAGTCTGAGAACCTCTGGACAAGGTCAACATGGCTGTGTTTTCAAAGATAAACCAATTCAAATGTAACTTAAACAAATATTGTTCATTCCTCCACTGAGAGGCGTATCTCAACTCAAAATGACTGTGTGGCTTTGGTATTTCCCAACAGCTGGAACAGAACTCTGGGAACTGTCTGACATCTGCCAAAGTTGTTTGTCATTCAGTTAACAACGTTAGCTTTAACAGCAAAGCCTGGGATAAGTCATTTTGGTCATATCACATCCATTACTTACAATCTGATATTTTACATTCTTGTGAAATTGGCACATTTTCCTATGAGCTCACTCTTTACCTTCCTAATGACTGTGTTGTCCAGCTTAATGATTAATATCTGCATTTACAGGTGGCAGAGCATCAGGGACAGCCGGCAGCTCCACTCGTAAGAGGCTCCATCGAAGACCAGGGTACATGAGAGGAGAGCAGTCCAGACTACAGAGCACTTTTAATGGGCAGGAGGAGGAGCAGGAAGAGGAGGAAGAGGAGGAAGACGAAGGGAGGACCACTTGCATGAGGAATGGGAAATCTGGGCGTCACACTGCCATCACTCAGGGGACCAGTGCACAAAGGATGAGTCTAACCCCTGCTGTCAAAGTGTCTGTAATAAATCAGCTTCAGCCTGATAAAGTCACATGTGGATCCTGGAAAAGTACGAGTTTTCTCTGCTCTGGAACTCGTCATTTCCCCCATGTGGACTATAGTGCCATTAATGGTACTTCCAGCCATCGGGCTCCATCCTCTTTGCCCCAGAATGAACTCAGTTTTAGCCCGAGCCCAGCACTCCAGTCCTCAGCACAGGACTCCTTTAACTCCAGCTTCAGTTTTATCCAACAGTCTCTAAACACCAGCCAGAAGACAGATTCAACCACTGCCACACCACCCAGGGGACCAGAAGCCCTATATCAGTCAACTCATGCACCTAGTTCACCTCAATCAAAACCAGCAACCTTATCCATTGTGCACAATGTCTCAAAACAGTCAACTCCTTTCCAATCACTGCCCTCCTCCTCCCCAGGTAGCCAGGCAAAGAGAGAGGAGCTGACATTAGGCAGTAGGTTTTGGCGGGAGTGTCAGTGGGGTGGCAGGGGGGCTACGCCTGACCAGCTTGAATGTGACTCCCCAGTTCTGGACATAGAGATCATCTCCTCACTGTCCTTGGACTCAGACACCGCCTCCGCCTCTTCCGTCACTTCAGGTTATGAGAGCGCTACGCCTGTCTCCGAGCAAGGCTGGGACAACCTGGTGAAGAAGTATGAGGGTGTGCTGCAAGACTGCCTCCAAAACAACCGCACTCACACTAAGGTAGGCATGATGTGAGCTTTAGATGCAGGGCTGTTGTCACAATAGCCTTATTGAGTTTAAGTCAATTCCAAGACCAGGTTCAGAGTCAGAGTACTAAGGCATCTCAACATTTTATTTTTTGCACATCAAATGTAAGGGTACCACTTTACAATAAGACTACCCTTATAAAGGATTCATAAAGGGTTTATAATTAGGTTATGAATTAGGTTGTAAACACTTTATTAATCATTAAGAACCATTTATAAACCAGTTCTAACATAGTTTTCATACATCAACACAGGCTCACTATTTGGCAAGATGACTAAGCCTTATATTGGCTACTTAGCGAGAATCAACTCAGTGAGCAACAGATACCAAGGATGCTGGCTGATGAAGAAGACAAAGTAAGCTAGGTAGCCAATATAAGGCTTAGCAGTAAATGTGGGCTCTCTATTTGGCAAGCAACCGGTCACAGTTGCCCTGTTTATCTCATGTCTTATAAAAGCTTATTCATTATTTAATAAATGAATTACAAACTATTCGTAAACCCTTTATAAGGGTAGTCTTATTGTAAAGTGGTACCCAAATGATATACCTTGTTTGTTTAAATCCTAAAAAGACTGAAAAGCAGTAAGAAAGTTGAAGAGAGTTAAAAGTTGGTGAACCCGTTTTGTCGTTGCGCTAAGCTAAGCTAAAAAAGCTGCTAGCTTAACACGAGAGAGAGGTATCAATTTTTTCAAATCTGACTCTTAAGCAAGAGATTTTACGAGAATTTTTTGTCAAACTATTTCTTTAAGACCATGAGCCAGCTACGGCAATAGTGTAGGCCAACGTGTTATTTTTAATGGTAAAGCTGACCACATATCACACATCTGCAGCTCTACACTACTATATGTTTAAACCATAGACTGTATATATAAAGGTTTAAACACCAAACTTCTTACAAACAAGACTTTGTCCAAAATTACATAGAAAAGAGTGAGTTTAACCATTTCTGTTTTAATGTGATGAGCCTACTGACTACAAATAAGAATAAACAATGATTGGCCATTTCAAAACAAATGTTTTCATATTCATTTTTGACATCTCTTCGATGTCCTAATCCCCAATTTGAGAGGATTTTACAAGCTAAACCAAACAAGTGAAATCCCTCAAATTGTGTGTTGTAGACAAATGAGAAGGTACAGGAAACGTTGACTTTAAAAACACCAACGTATTTCTATTAGTGTTACCTGATGAGATGCACTCTAAATAGCAATATTTAGTGACGATATTGAGGTTTTAAACTTCCTAGACCACAAATTGCTGACGTGGTGTCAAGTTGAAATGATGGTCATTCCCCCTTCACTCTCTTTGCCTTGTGGTGACAGTTTAAAGAGCATTGCCCTCTGGATTGTTGCATCATATGTTCTGTCTTCAGTCTATTGTGTGTCGCTTTTCAGATTGAGTCCATGATGTTAAAGCTGCAGAGGCTCCAGCAGAAAGCCATTTTGGATGATGACTATGATGCAGGTGAACTTGAGCCTTTCAATTGAGCCGTTTTTTAATGATTAAGTAGGCCATTTCTGAACAGTGTTGTTGTTAGTCTTCATTTTAAATAGTCGAAAGTAAATTAATGTAACTTGTGACATAGTTTCAGCAGCTTCACATACAGTTCTCTTTGGGATTTTCAATTTATTTCAAGGTATTACTGATTTGTTCAGTCAGGACCCAGGCATTCATCTGTTTGACATTTAAGTAGAGAGACGTAATGGGAAGTAATTCAGTCGCTTTTATTGGATTTCTTGCTAACTGATAGTTATTGATCAAACTATGATTTTGATAAAGCATGCAAGGCTGCACATTAATTCAAGCTGAATAAATGGTTTGTTGTGAACTGACCGACTTACTGACATACTATCTTGAAACATTAGAGACTTTAACTTTGATGATTAAAAATTCCTTAAATTGTTGCATATTTACTAATGTGTCCTATCATGTCTACTATTAGAAGTTAGTACAAATGATACCTCTGGTTTGATGATTAGTTTATCAGTCAAGCTGAAACTAACCCTATAAGTGTTCTTTCTCTATCCTTTCTCTATCCAAAGCTGGAGTGTTGACTTGTCCGTATGTCCACATGTCAGTGCTCACACATCAGATACATTAGCCAAGTTAAACTGGAGGTTGTGAAACTAAGGAAAGTAGCCCAGAATGCATGCATGGGCTTTCCTGGGTTGTTTTACCTTTGAAGACTGCATGGGATAAAACCACAGTTTGTTGAACCAATGAAATGTAATCTTCTTTTACTGAAATGTTGTAGACAAGAAATAATAGGATTTTCTTACTGATGTAGATCTTAATGTTTTGCCCTCCGATGGCTTTTTGGGAGCCAAACAGAAAGGTGCATTTTAAAAAAAAAAGGGCTCAGAAATGAAGAATTCTGAAAGTTTAAATTATAGGAATGAAATCTTCTTGGAAAAAGCAAGCAGAGAACTGTTTAGTTTCTTCTAAGGTATCATTTTGTAATTAAATAATTAGTGATTCTGAATGCCTATGTGTTTTTTTTAGTGAATGAGGCATACAGTATGCGTTATAACTTAGAGAGTAATCTGATTTCTGTATAGTCACATCAAGTTTCTACACGGACTCTCGGAATTGAACATAGTTTCTAATAACAAAACATTTTGGCCAATGTTGCTGCCTGTTATTCAGTGTGTGTGTTTGTGTTTTCAGCTGAACGTTTTGGGGAAAAGCTGGAGGAGCTGTGCAGGGAGCGAGGCGCTCTGAAGCTGGGTCTGCCCTCCAGACAGCCCAGCGTGGCTCTGTTCCTGGAGCGGCTCAGACAGGTGGTGCACAGCGCCCTCCAGAGGGCGGACTGCAGTCAATGCAGGTCAGTCACAAAACAATGACTTTAGCTGCATTATCATTGAACACAAGACTCACACTGCTGTAGTAACACCAAGTTGGATATGAGCAGCATGATGTGTGGTGCCAAACATTTTTCAGAATTAATATCACAGCATTCAAAAGCTACTGTTGTGAAACTGAAGTAAAATCTTTCTCTCTCATGACATAGAGATGGAGAATTACTTTTTTTAACGAAACGTGAAGTGAAATTAAGTACTAAATGTGACCGGATAAAAATAAAAGATTCCCTGTTATGCTTTCAATTTCAGACATATTCAGACTTATTCAGACTTGTGTCATATTAATTATCACACATTTGATACTATAACATAGTGATTATTTGCACAATAAAACAAAGCACCAGATACAATTTGTTCTGAACTTCTGGTGAGATTTATTTTAAAACAGGGTCTTAAAGAATTAATCTCATCTCACTAGGAAGTATAAGCAGCCAGTTTTATGGGTAAAATTTGATTATAAACTCGGTCATGTGATCATGATCATGCGCTATCTTTCATTATTATGTCGTAGGACAGAGCGTTTGAGAGGGAAGACAAAAATAGCTCTTGCAACAGGAAGGAAATCAGTTGGGGCCTCTCTAGAGGGTATCCTGGACAAATGTAACCTCATGCAGCGATGCCGTGTTTTCCACACATATTTGAATCTAAAAAAACATGCTCCCAAAGATTTAAGGTCACCTCTGTTAGACATTCTTCCATTCTATTTCATTGGGGCTGAAAAGCTAGAAGGAAAAGCAGTACGAAATTGGGTTCAATTAGATTTAGTGATATATAAATGAACACGTTTTAATGTCCCAGTACACAGTACAGTACACAACCACATAAGCTCAACTCAAGGCCTTGAAATGTGAAGAAGGTTAGAATTGTTTTAAAATATATTTAAAAAACATTGCTGAGGTTTGACTGTATTTTTTGGGGACTGGTTAACAGGAAGGATGCAGGGGAGAGGTCAGAATCATCACACGGTCCACTGCATCAAAAAGATCGCCTGATCCAGGAGAAACGGCTGATTGAGGTAAAATTAGCTCACATTATGTCATTAAGGCTTACAATGGTATTTTCTGACACTATGTGGAACACGTGTGTAATACAATACTGATAAATGCTAAAAATGTATAGAAAGACTTCTAGTTGTGTTTAATTCCAGAGTAAGGAAAGTTTGTGTACTTGAATATAGTGCCAAATGTACTTGTTAGGATAGTTCAACTACAGTTAATTCAATTTAGTTTGATATGCTGATTTTAAAACAGACTCTAAAAACTTCTTAAAAACAGGAACTATTTTTCCAACTAAAACTGAACTATTATAAGAACTATGTCCTGGATAACAGCCAGAGAACAGAACTATCATTGATAAGTACCTGATAATGAACACCAGGATCATTAATGAAACCTGTGCAGGAGGAGATAGCAGAGCTGCAGTGGAGGCTGACAGAGCTGAGGGACCGCAGCCGAGGCCTGGAGCTGCAGATCCAGCAGGAGGCGCAGCAGGTGGAGGCCGAGGAGCTGGAGGGCTCCGTGCTGCGGGGCCGCACCGTGGCCCAGCTCCGCGACATGAGCCGAACCCTGCAGGACCTCGTCACCTCTGAAAACCGCACGCAGATCACCGTCTCACCTTCAGCCTCCCTACTCAGGTCAGCCTCACATGATTCGTGCTGAATATTTTCTGTTGACTTTTGCATCAAATCACTTGGTTTACATTGCAGTAAGTGTGCAATCCGAAGAAACTGTATGCACACGTTAAGTGATTGATTACATGCTTAAATAACTAGTAGCTGCCCAAGAAGAAAATACAAAGAATAATTCTAAAATCATTTAAAACATATTTCACATTAATGCTTATTCTGATTAGAATGATTGTGGAAGATATTTTTTCTGATTAAGATGAATCATTATAGACATAACTGTTCCCTGGCACAATACTACATTTTAAGATAATGTCTTAATTTCAATGCAATCAGTGCATGAGAGACTCAAATTAAAATGAGGAAACATCTCTTGACATACGTTTCACAGGGTTTTGATGAACAGAGAGTATGTGCACCTGCTCTACATAGTCCATCACTATTGGGAAAATGAGCAAATGTAGGTGGAAAATGTAATTGTCACATTGTGCCTTGGGAGTGTATTGTTAAGAAACATCTTCACACATTATATAGTTGCATTTCACACCTTATTGTTAAGTGTCTTGCTATTGGTCACTGGAAACAAGCGTTGATTGGATGAGACTAAACAGCATAACTCGAAAAAATAATTACTGGATTTAAATTATTGATGCATTTCTGTCTTCATCATTTAAAGTAAGTAATTTTTACTGCTGGGTAGCTTTATTCCTTATAACACAACATATATTATTAGTTGAGTTATACATATATGGAAAATGTTTGTTTACAAAGTAAGTAATGTAGAACAAATGTGTATCAGGAAGTCAAAGACAGTCAATATTTTACCTGTCAAATATAGATTAGAAAATGTAAATACTCAAATTAAGTATCTCAAATGTATACTTAAGTACAGTTCTTTAGCCAGTTACAATCCACAACTGGCTAAAGACTCCACTTGAAGTTTAATGTATTGTTAATTATTTCTATGAATAGATAAGTAAATGATTGTTATGTTAGGTTCTGTATATATTAATATACATAATGAATCATATGAGACAAAATACACTTCAACTATATGCTCATAGTCCTGGTCAGGTCAGTAAATGAATGTCAGGTGTACTCATTTCTTATCATCCAGTTGACAGTTCTCACAGTTCCTGCAGTACTGTCAGTCACCAGGTGGGGCTGCTGTAGAGCTGCAGTGGTAATAACAAAACAACAATCCTCAGTCCTAGGATGTTTTCCCTGTATCAAGTCATTTACTTTCCTATCATAAAACTAGCTCGTTTGGAGGAGGATATGTCAAAGCAGTTCCTATTTTGCAAAATCTTTGCTTCCCAGCCTTAGCCGCCCTGCAACAAACGAAAAAATCACACCGTCATGTTTAAACCCAATTAACATCTAAATAAAAAGCATAGAGAAGCTTAGAGAATTAAAGTGGGGAATACATATGTAGTATTTCCACATAAAAAAAACTAAATTGCACACTCTTGGATGTTTGGGAGGGGTGCACTTGCAATTTTTGTAGAAATCTAAGGCCTTGGGTGTGAGAATAAGGCAATAAACGTATATGATATTTTGTTTGTATTCAGGTTCAAAGAGGACGCATTAAGCAACCACAACCCAATTTTTCTTTATTCCACGCTGTGCCCTCAATCCTTTTCTCTCACACCACACCTGCTTGAACCTGCTTTGAATTTTAATGGTTTTTCTCAGATGCAAATGATTATTTTGCATCATATCCTCTGAAGTTAATAGCTTGCAACAGAGCACCGTGGAAAGCCTCTCTGTCTTGCCACTCATTAAAAAGACATGTAAATTGTACTTATCACCTTCTCGGTGGCGTGACCCACCCTCCCAGGCATAATTTGATATCTGACATACTCTTTCCCCAACTGGAAAGCATTTATTCTTGATGCTGATTGAAATTGCGGCCTCAGATTGGATATTAAGCTGCACATCTCCAGGTGTCATCCTTTGGGTCATTGCGATTGTTGTGCTCGCAGTTCCCTTTCCAAATAACACATCACATATCAAGATTTATTTCCTAACTGGATTAAAGAAATCCACCCTCTTCAGAGGAGCTGCATCCCTGAAATAAGGTGCAGTAATACTGATGTCCAGAGACAACATCTGAATATGACTCAACCTGAATATCAGCTTGAATAACATATCACACATTTTGTGATACGAGTGGTTTGGGACCTCAAGGTGACTGCATAATGGCTTTTATGCTCATTTTACCCCATCTTCTAATTGATTTATATCACTGTCACGGAATAATGTGACCTTAATGGTTTGTCTTGTTTACATTCATTTACAGTAATAGCATCTCTGACATTACCCTTGATATCTGAAACGATCATCTAGACAGTTTTATAATGGGCCAGTCAATGAAAACCATTATTGCAAGAACAATACAAATTTAAGAAAACGTAATACTGCATGCAGGAGGTCAATTTGAACTGACTTTGAACTTTGACTAAGAAACAAATCATCTCACAGATTAGTCTTGAGCGCTACCCAGATTTACCACTTTATTTCAAGCTGTAAAAGACAACTACATTATTTGAGAAACAGTGGTGGAGCAATTTTTCTTTTAGGCATCAAGACTAAAACAGTGACTGGAGAATAACAACAGGCAGGACTACTCAATACTACAGACTGGATCTGATGAATGGTGAACTGTTACTAGAGCTAAAACAATAAGTAAATGAAAGGGATAGTTAGACATCTTGGGAAATCGGCCCGGAGTTAGCTGAGAAGATCGATGCCACTCTCATATGTCTGTTAAATACAGAAAAACAGCCAGCAGCGGATCAGAGGTCACTGAATCCAGACAAAAAGTAGTCTGGCACATAACTTCCATAAAAGCACAGTTTCTGTTGTTACACTACAGTTTTAAAACACAGTATAGTGTGTAGGGTAGTGAGCTTTTGAAGGAAGATAGATTTTGTAACGACAGAGCCAGGCCAGCTGTCTTCCCCCATTTCCAGTCTTTATGCTAAGCTAACTAGCTGCTGGCTTGAGCTTCATATTTTAAGGACAGATGCAACAGTTATTGACCTTTTCCATCTGATTCTAAGTAATCAGAGTTTTAATGATATGATATAATCTATTAACTTAGTTTTCCTTTTTTGAGCAAAACTCACTAGTTAGTTAGTATAATGTGATTATAAGTTATAAAATATTCAAATTCTTTGTTGCTGGTTGATAAACCGCACTATACTAGAGTTTACTGATATACTTATATTTCCTATGATTGACATATAATGATTTCTCTTGAAGCCCTTAAAAGAAAGAATCAACCTCCAATACTACACGGTCACATTTGTATTTCTCTTTTTGCAGACTCCAGGAGCAGGAGCAGGCATTGAATCTGTCCATCAAGGAAGCCACTGCTAAAGTAAGCCACTGTTCCTCTGACCCGATTAAATCCATAGCAGCTCATCCTCCCCTCAGCATGCCAACAACGACTGAATGTGTGTGAATATGTAATGAGTAGTATGTCAAACTAGAAAGCATACTGTGTGCCAACGTCTGTGTATAAAATATGCATACATATTGTTAGTGTCTGTATTATACAAATTATTTATTTGAGAAGGTAGAGAACTGTCCATAGTTGCATGTAAGAGTCATGTAAGAGCTCTCGTCTTTCATAAAAAAATCTCACATTTTTGGGGGAATTCTAATGGCTATAAGCATGTGAATGAGTTCCATATTGATTTAATTTAAGCAGTTTTTCTTTCACTTTTTAGCAGCTACAGCCAATAGATTTTATAGGTGTATGTTAAGTTAGATATCTGTTAAGCCAGCACTGCTTTGTGCGGTTTTCTTGTGCGTGTATTCCTTTGCATGCTTCCCTTTGTATGTGCTGTGGGTTTTTCCTCTCACTAATCTCCATACATACCTACTGTTTATCTCTGCAGCTAAAAAAAGGTAGAAGCAGCAGAAACCCATATGAGTGGTGGTTTAAGGGTAGTGGGAGCGAGGCACAACAGGGGAGAGGGGCTCAGAAAAAACCTCTTTACTCTTACGGTGTCCTTCAGGAAGCGATCATCAAATGGTTTGTCGAAGCTGCAACTACACCTTTATGGAACATGCAGTCTTTCCATAAGTCACACTTTTACCTCAATTTCAAGATGGTGTGTTTCTTTAAATTACTTCTATATTTGACAGAGGAGACTGTAAGAAATGGTGGCGAGAGAGAAGTATGATAGCAGGATTCAAACACATTATTTTGCAGTTATATGGCATGTGCTTTAACCACTCAGCTACCAAGGCGGTATACGATTCTCCATTGTTGAATTGAAATGAAAACGTGTGTTGCTAAATTAGACATATCCACCATGTGCACGGCACACCTGCTGTGACAAATTAAATTGCCATGAAAGTAGATTTCACTTTCTCAATCGACTTCTCCAAAATTGACAAATAGCCTGAGATTTTGAAAACAAATCACCAATGTCAGAAATTCGACAGTTTGGAAAGCACTCCAGTGCAGTTTCCACTTCATGTAAAGCATGAAATAAAATTATGCAAGGCTGTTTGAAGAAAATAAAAAAACAGTTTTCTGTATTTCATTGGAAAGAGAACTCCCTGGAGATGTTCTGCCTCAGATATTTGACAGCCTTTTCAAAGTGTAGCACAAAACTGTGTCAGATTCAAGAGGAAAATGCGTGAGAAAATCCAAATCCCTTGGAGTGTTGAAAATAGTTCCTCAAAGGAAGGAGACGCATCATGGGTATTGTATCTGGCAGTCACTCAAAGTGAATGCATTAGACAGAAGAGAGGTTTAAAGGGCAGACTGAGGGCAGATGGGGGGCAGACAGGCTGTATCTGAAGCCATCAACTCCTCTGTGAATACAGCCGAGCTAAGGTGCTGCATCCCCATCAGGACCGTGACATTCAGGGCCTTTTCCCTCTCTCTGACATTCTAATGGCATCTTTTATGGAGATTTCACATTTCCGTGTCAGCCCATGTGAAAGGCGACGCAGTCTCTTTCTTTCTAAAGGTTATGGACAAGGTAACACATTGGCGTTGATGCTCTGCTGTGTATTCAAAGCAGGGCGAGCACAGGAGGACGGAAATGAATCTGTAAGGTCTTATAAGAATAAGTGTCAGAAAAGAAAATGAAAGCGGAATTGGAAATAAACTGCATCCTGTGGGATCCATGTGTCTGCAAAGGTTTTGTTAGTTACCGCCCTCCCCCCCGGCTCTTTTCTCAGCCTCTTCTTCTCCTTCTTTTCCCCAGGTGGTCATGAGTCAGAGGCTGGGCAGCAGCCTGCGGAGGAAAGTAAGCGAGACAGAAACTCAGCTTTTGGCACTGCATGAAGCCAAACTGGCGGCCATCTCAGGTAACTCCCCGCTTAACCGTCACAATTCATACATTTCCCGTCCTCTATTTACCTCATTTACTGAAATCGTCGACCATTAGCTTCACCTAATGACGCTATTAGTGATCGTGGCGCTCATTAATGGGCGTTGTAAGCTTAATGTTCTCCTGTGATGCGCTGCTGCAGGTAATGACTTCAGCAGTGCCAAGGAGATGAAGGCTGAGATGAAGGCGGTGTACCTTGAGCGGGACAGACTGGATGCTTTGGCCAAGAGGCTACACAGCCTGAGCTCGGGGAGCAGCCAGGAGCTGGCCAGGATGAAGGAGCAGCGGCAGCAGTTCAGGCAGGAGCTGGAGCAGAGGGAGGCCCAGCACGGTGAGTCAGTCTACACCACGATAACACAGACTGTTTTCATCCCAAACGAGAAGTGGTGCTGCTGTGGGCAATACAATCCATTCTCTCACCCAAATGAAAACAGGAGAATTTATGATTGCGCTCTTTCCATTGTTCTTACCAGGGAGCAGTAATGTAGACTGAGTGGTGAGCTGATGTGTATTCCACCTGGCCGAGCATAAGCTGCAACAACCTAACTTTCTAGCCTTTTATGGGGCAATCAATAATTCATCTTTGTCCCTTTAAACCTGCAAATACTAATTGTTGGCCACTTGGGGGCAGTGGAAACACAACACTGACATATACACTTTCTAAGTTGATTTGAAGGCGGGAGTTAACACATCCAGCAATTACAAAGGAACATTATCATTATGTTAAAGACCCTGCCTGCCTGGCAAATGTCCAACCCTAACTCTTAGCTCCTTTTGAGGTAATCTAAGGGGAAATATATAAACCAAAATATTGCACCGTTATCAAAATAAACTCAGGAGTTCTAAGCATTTTCCTGCCCACTGAGACTGGAAAACGTTTGTTGTATTCCGTTGAAAGGGACCTCCGTCTTTCTTTAAGTACACCTTTTAAATATCAATTGAAGTGTGCATCATGAAAGCTCTTTGGAAGACAAGACCTCTCTTGATGTTGCTCCACGCTGGGAGGACGTCAATAGACTATGACTTTTCTCCCAAATGAGGGAGAAATGATCGGCTGTCAGTAGGGAGTCAGCATCAAATGAGTTACCGGCAGGATTGGCAGTTGTTGAGAGGGAGGGAGGATGGGGGCTTGTGGGACTTGTGGGCAGGGGAAATGAGTGTGAAGTAGCCAATTACCTCCAAGCTACTCAGTGCAGACATGAGGTATAAGCACAAGGACACTCTCCAACTACAGGAGATCTGAATGCTGCTTAAAAGAAGGACCCACTTTTTTATAGAAGAAGGAGGGGGTAGATTGGTTTGGCCTCCTGGCACTGGCAAAGAAATAAATGGACTTTGACAGCACCACCTGCAGTGCTACTCTCTCAAGTCCATCAGTCACAAGGAATTTTTCTTTAAAAAAGGGTCACTTTACTCTCTGAGGCACTGAGACGGCAGTGCGCTGAGATGGAAGGAAGGGGAGCGGTGAAGTGATGAGACAAAAAGCAGAGACTGAAGCTCTGCATCGGGCGCCAGCTGCAACCAGAAGTTGGGCAATCAGCTATCTTACATCCACTGTTATCTAGACCATTAAGGCCTGTGGCTGCAGCATGACTATTACTGTGGACCTATTGTATTGTCTCGAATGCACCCATGCTGCCACTAGGGAGCACCCTTTCATTGTTTCAGTTAGGCTCAGTTGCATCACATTTTTAATGGGGTATAAGGTATATATTTGGTATTTTTGATAATTTAAGGTCCACAACTTAAAGGTCCCATGTCATGGCCATTTCCACTGATCATAATTCCATTGTTGAGGTCTACTAGAATAGGTTTATATTGTGCAATTTTCCAAACTCACATTGGTTTCTCATACAGCATCTCTGTAAACTACGTGTATTCACTGAATTTCACTCTCTGCCTTTAACGGCTCGTTGTAGCTCCAATAGCTCCAGCCCCCACCCTCCCTGTGAGCACAGTGTGCTCTGATTGGTCGGGACGTTGTGAATCGCGCTGAGCTCCGTGGAGGTGTGGTTTCCTTGTTTAGGATACACAGCGAAACACAGCCAAACTCATTCTGAGCACACACAAACTCACAGCCGAAGTAAAAACAATAAGTGTGGCTTGATATTGAGTAAGAAAAAGGTTGATAAACGCTGTGAGAATGGGACTGCAGAGAGAATTTTGCCGCGATCCCAACTGTCTGTTATCAGCCTGCAGCCAGGGAGGAGAAATCAGCTGAGCTGCCTGCACTGAGTGTGTGTGTGTGAGGAAGTCCGTGGATTGGTCAATTTGGACCAATCAGCGGGGGCTTAACGTAACGGCTCCGCGGACGTAACGTAACGGCTCCACGGATTGGTCCATTTGGTTCCGGGTACCGCATGACCGTATCGCGTCATAGCTCTGGGCGTGGCTACTGGGTATCCAGACGTCACAATGCCCAGGAAGAACATGAGAAATCTCCAACGAGGCGTTTTTCTGTGTTAGAGTTTTACTCCCTACAGGGTGTACTTTGAGGGTTTTTGACTCTGCAGACCGTTTACATGCATAAAAACCTTCATAACACACAAGGGGACGGGTAATAACCGGAAAAGCATGACATGGGACCTTTAATGTTACTGTTGAAAATAACAAATAGCAAATGATGTGCCTTGTACTCTAACCATTCTGCATGAAAATCCGCCAGATATTTGATGTTAAATAACAGTCCTGAACTTGACTTGCCAAACAACCAGGGATGACTTTTCCGTAACAACAACGAAAGACCTGTTCAAGTTCCCGTCAGTATCCTCAATGCACGGCATGCCTTACACAGAATGAGGCAGCTCTCAGGGACACAGAGGCTGAACAATAAGTGGCATGCTAAATGTTCGGGCTAAACAAAGGAACGGGAATCAGGTGAGAAAGGCTCCTCGAGACGGCAAATTAATGATTGGTTGCGTGGTGTGCTCAAGTGGGCGTGCACAATGTGGCAGCAGGCGCAATTTCACAATGCGATGCCGACAACAAGCAAGGGGCTCATTAAACTGTCAACCTTTTTGGTAATAAGGGGCTGGCACATGGTAGCTGGAAAGTGATAGCCAACAACCACCACATTAGCATTTCTTTAGCTGGAGGGGATTAGAAATTACTGTCTACTTCAAAGTCAAGATGGCCATCCTTTTGGTTTCTGAGGCATTTCTAGCACATCTTTATGACACTTGTGTCTTCTTATAACGAGGAAACCATATGGCTGTTCTTGAAAGGGCCTATTGTCATGAGCTCTAAAGAAACCTAGTTCACCTGATACCTCCATGCACATGCATCCACTTAAACCACGCAGCTTTAGCTTGTTGAACATCTCCGCCCAGCGTACTTTGTGGTGTGGGGGTTTTTTGGCCTGGGAGCCATTGAGTCCTTAATTGCCATTGACGCGAGTGCTGATGAATACCAAACCCATTATAGCCGGAGGTTTGATTCCCTACGGAGAGTATCATTTTGTCCCCAAGAGAGATCTGGAGTGATACTAAATTTACAAATAAATAATTGAAGAGCTGAGTAAATGACCCCCAGGAGTGAGGACATTTAAATGGGGAGGCAGTGTTGGTGTGTGTTCCCTTTTGATTTATACAAGTATTCTGCCAATGCTTATTTAATGCTTTTGTTGGTATGCAGGCGGTATATTCTGTAGCAGGTAATTTGGCGCTCTGCGGTAAAGATAGGAGTTTGTCTTCTCCACATGGCTCCACTAAAACACATCTTATTAGTTTTTTGCTGCGTCTTCACCATCTATTATTCTTCATACAGATCCCACTTCAGTGTCACCTCTGTCTTGAGTGTCAACTCAACTGTGCATATGAGTAAAAAGTTGAAGTGTACATCAAAATACTGCATCTATGTGTTATTAAACAATTGCAATTTCCTCTTAATGGAGAGCCAATAATAAAGACAAGGACATATATGATTTATTCATGACTGTGCCTCTTTCAGGGTGCGTCTGTTGAGAACATGATGGAACATATGACAGCTATTCTCCTAAAGAGTGTCTGAATGATTGAGAGCGGTGTAGTGGTTAAGTGGACCTGAGAGAATGTTTCCTTTTTTTTAATTCTTTGAAATGTTGGCAGTATTCATTTTTCCTGAGATTCAAAAGAAGATGTAATTCTATTATTAGTATCAAAGTGTCCATACCCATCAGCATAACTTTAAAAACAAAGAGAAGTTGATTGAGGTACTACTGCAATAGTTCCCACTACATAACTGTTTGTTTGTAGCCATGCTAGCAACATGTCAGTTTACTGCGTGCTTTGTTCCAGATTGAAACGGCTAAACAACTACTGGTTCATGATTACACATTAGATATTGTGTAACATTTGTAATTAGTAAAGTTGCCAAGCTAACACACTAAACAGAGATGGTAAACACAGGAATTACAGTGTTAGCATTACTATTGTGAGCTAATTAGCATGATTACATTACCATAAAGCAGCTAGCATGGCTAGTTTAAACAACTTTAATTGAGGTGGCATATTCAGAAGAGTATTTTTTGGCGGAAAAACACTTTATTTCTCTTGTGCTAATGTCGTTTCTCAAAATATGCTAAAGAAATAATAAGATGCCACTTAAACAGAGCAGGATTTTGAGCGGGTGAGCTGTTGAGATAGCATTTTAAAGTATTTATGGTCGCACATTTTGGGACAGTTCTCCATGGTTTAGCTTTATAGTTTTATTTTTCAGCCCAGAGCAAAGTAAGTCAGAGTCTCTTCTAAAAAAACTCAGTTTACTGAGTTTTACTTGAGTTATAATGTCAGTGAGGATGTCAAAGATTTCAGTCAGAGCAATTCCGTACCAATAACTGAAATATATTTATCCACTCAAGCACAGATTCTCTACACACAAACTACATTTTTGTCAAATTATTTATTTTTGTAGTGCATTTGGGCATAGCCCCACAATATGTTACAGCATGCCAACAGAAATATGTGAACTGCGATGCTGTTGTCCCACAGCCTAAAGCATCATTGCCTATTGAGTGTCCGTCTGAGGCCCCGCTCACACGGGAACGTTTGCGTTTATGCACAGTATGCGTATTCAAAAAAGTCTTCCGTTCACATGCATTAGTTTCATTTAACGTGTCTGTTCAAACGAGGCCGCTGGAAACGCTGTAGTACATATGCCGGGACTGTAAGTGGCGCTGTAACTTCCGCCAAAATACACCAAAAGCCGCGAAGAAGAGCAGCCCCGCCACAATGTTGCCATGGCTACCCTTCTGTTTAAGCCCCGCGGTGTATTTAGCAACATGTAGTTCATGTAATTCTCCATGTCCACTTGTTGCTGATGGTTGTGGTAGAGGAGCTGTAGATTTTGCACTAATATCTGTAGCATGGTCAGTAGCAGTAGCACTAGCAGTAGCTACTGACAGGAGGAAGTGTGTGGCGATTGCTGGTATTCAGCGGGATATAGTCATTTCCTCAGCATATGGATAAATGCAACGGGGAAGTTAACTGAAAGAAACCGAATCTGTGGATATTGCTTCGACCAGGACGGCTCAGAAAGAGAGATATTCTCTACAAACACCGGGTGAGATCGCACCTTTGTCAATATAATGGATCAATGCATGAAATCTGACTGTTTATTTTGTTTAAGGAGTATATTGGGCGTTAACAATTCTGGTTTGCCTTTTATAATATTATTTCATTCAAGAACCCCTTGTGCGTTTAATTAACACAGCTATTTTTGATAGTTGCTACAGCAGTGAGCAGGAGAGGTGGGGCTATCGCAATTTTTTCAGGAAATATTCGTATAGAGGTGATTACACGGACTCGGTTGACCCCCCAGAGCGTTTCGTTTGCAAATCTATCCACCTTGGGACCCGTTATCGTTTGTGGGGTCAGTTTCTATCGGCCTCGTGTAAATAATAGGGCTATACGCACGCGAAACTATGCGGATCCAAGCAGTTTTCTCCTCGTGTAAACGGCGCCTAAGATATCTGTCTGTCCCTCCTCCTTCATTAGCAATGCTGCCTGGCTGCTGTTAAGTTCAGAGACGTTCATACAATCTGAGTGTCAGCATATGCTGACTGGGTGTTTGTGTTACCTGCAGTGCTGTTGCACTCAAGCAGCCCTAGCTGAGCTTAAACACATTAATCACAGTCGGTGCCTTCAACTCAATTATAAAAGACACACAATTTATCTTCTGCCCTATTATGCGCAAGGCTTTTATAACACGCATATCAGCGGTGCTGTGTTAGCACGGAGCAGCCTCTAATTTGTTCGACAACACGAAGGCCTCACAGATGCTGGGTGCCTTTATTGTTACAAGGCAAAGAAGAAATGGCTGCATTTACAATTAGAGAGCTGTTCAAATGTTCATAACTCAGCAGCAAATCTAAACACCTTGCCATCGTTAAATTCTGCAGGCTCATTAAAGCCCATTGCTTCATCATTGGGAATTGTGCATCACTGTGCGATACATCTGCTCCATTTGCTTTGTCTGTTTGATTGTAATCATCAGCTTTATCGTTTTTATCAACTTTGTGGTTAAGTAATTGTCTTTTCATTAGAATAATTAATGAGTATTTTGACCAATATTAAACTAATTGCTTTTTTTGCAACATCCAGTAACACATTCTCATCATCTGTCAATTGTGTGTCACTTATGTTTGTGTTATCAATGAATGGCCCCTTCGATTTTGTCCGGGGTCTTTGGCAGCAATCAGTGATGTTAAGCACCCGCTGAGATCAGTGGTGTGAGGGGAGGCTGAGCTCATGCATTTTCCAGTGCAGGCTCTGTGAATGCCTTTGTGAGGTTCCCTCAACACCAAATATAGTGTTGCATGTATCAGGGAGTAACAGACTGCCTCTCTTCTTTATGGGCTTTTTAGTGCCGATTTTATTCGCATGGTCTGCCAATGACAGCAGCCTCCCGCAGACTTACAGGAAGTGGCAATATCACCCGGTGCTCTGGTTCCACTCAGCGCAGGAGGAGGCTCTGCTGCTTGATGTCTTGTCCCATTCTATAAAGAAAAGATTATTTTCATCTGTCACGCCAGAAGAGGCTCACTAGTTTTGCCACCGGTTGGCATGGCGACAGCATGGCACACTGCCTCGCAGTATCAGCATAGATAGACATATTGAGTTAACAGTTAATACACTCAAGTCTGCATCTCTCCTCTGTACATGCTCTTCATCATAGACTGTATCTATTCCTCACAGTATAATATTTCTAAATCTGGCTCTTGTTTGAGCCTTAGTCATCTCACATCTGTACATGCTCTTTGCCATCTGAAGTCAGGCTTAATGCCCTCCATGTATAATTCAATGGTTTTCTCCTTGCATGCTGCCTACCAGAGCTGGGATGAAGGGAAGTTGACACGGGAGACTCTGTCAGGTGGGATAGGATCTCACATAGCAATTAGAGGCGTGGTAAGTGAGCTGTCTGGTCCACGTAGAGCAGATATGTGATAGCTTCTCCTCCTTCCTCCACCCTCTGATTGAGAAGATTTGGCCACTTTGAATGGAAATGACTGAGCCAATATCTCGCTTCCTGTGGCTGTGACACACACATACCAAATAAATAACCTGACTATATCCATCTCATTTCTTCCCCAAAGTATAAAAAGGAATACGTGTATGAGTGTGTGTCACAGCCACTTAGTCTGAGGCTTTTTTCTTCCAACCCCCGCTGTGCAAGCTCCCAGCTTGTCTCATCCTGAAGCTGATGCTGTCTAATAACCACCATCAAGACAATGATACAAATTATATTTCAAACCTCAGTGTGATTCAGAACACCCAATTAGGTGACTTTCTCTCTGTGTGAGCGAGCTAAGTGTCTTCCAACAACTTTTGGCTTATCTTTCTTTAAAATGTAACACCTTCTGCTTCGTCGTCGGTTTTTAAACGGATATGTACTTGTTAGTATTAATGACTCTACTCTACTATTTTTGGAAATATGTTTTTGGCTTTATTACATAGCTTTATTTGAGAAATTTGATAGCACGATCACCTATGAACAGTACAATTTGAAGCTATACATTTTGGTGACCTTAGTTTACCCAAAACTGTGGTCAAATACATGTATTTCCCAAATGTGGAACAAATATTATATATTTTCCTTCTCAGTGTGTTTAATATTGTCAAAACAGATAAAAGTATAACATATTTTGCAGGAGAATAGCACTGATAAAGTAATGTCTGAAAAATAGCCCAATGTACCCCACCAGACTGTGGGAAAGCACTGATTCTCATGTTGAGTTGTACAGATGCTGGGATGGGAAAATTCTTGAGGACAGCTTGTTGTGAGTGTGGATCTCAGTGGGAAGAAGGAGGAGGGTAGTATCGAACATTATAGCCTGTGTGCGCATATATATATGCAGCCCACAATTTGATATAAGTGCATCCTATTGTGTTCAAAGACCTGCCACTGCGGGGGGCATATTCTCATGTTTCATACATGAGCTCATTAGCGGCGTTCAGATTGCCCTCCTCTCCATCCTGACTAACACCCAGCCAGCCTGCGTCTGCCTCCTCAGGCACAGCTCACTTCTGGCAGGAGGGCGCAGGAAGCAACAGAAGCTATCTATCCAACTTCATGCCGCACAGAAAATCTGGCGCTGTATAAGGACCTATGCCATGTTAGAATCCCCTTTTATCCTCAGGCCGTCTCCAATTTTATCCCCTCTCGGAGCAGTGGGAATGATGTTTCCTCGATTGTGTGTTTGTCTTAAGAGAGAGCCAGCTGGGCCTTTGTACTGTACTGTACTGTTACAGGTTCTCAGCGTAAGGCACAGCCCATATATAAAATAGCTAATGACAATTCAGTTTTAATGGTATTAGAGCTGTGATTTGTTGCTAGGTTACCCCATCATGGCTAATAAAAGTATGAGTAACAGGCTGTTGTTCCCTCTGCTCCTCTCCATGCAGAAAGCCGGCTCAAAGAGAACACTACCGAGTACATCAGGCTTTTGGAGGACAGATTACAAAGGTAAGAATGTTTTCTGCCATTTCTATTTTTTTGTAAAAACATAATAGAAAAAAACAAACCAAACGGACATACAGAACAACAGGCTCCAAGGAATTCCTCCAGCCTTGGTTGTCCTCTAACCAGAACACCACCCTTCCTCCCCCCAAATACATCACCTCAGCCGCCACATCATGCACTCACACCTTTTTATTATTCCGTTTTCTCCCAGAGCTTCTTTCTCACATTTCACTCTGTCTCTCACCTGCACAATTTGTCTTTACCTGTTATTTTCTATACCTCCACTTCAGCTTAGTTTCCACCCCCCCCCCCCCTCCGTCTGTGTAAACTATTTTAGACAAAACAATATCTCCACTGTTTCTATCTGCGTCTCAGCGGCCCTAAATCACAGAGGACAGGTCTGTTGTGTTGCGGGTGGTCGCCCAGCACGTCTGACTGTTACACAACAGGATTGTGATGTGCTGAGAGGCTGACTTTTTTTCTAACTGCGCATGTGGGACAGAGTCAGGCAGAAACGTATCTTTCTCTGCAGCATTAAAGATTCATTTCGGTTTTACATATGGAAAATAGATAAGAGTTTTTTGTGTATAGCACATGAGGTGTGTTTTGTACCGAGTTTGTTCTTCCTAAACGTTCAGAGGGGAAAGGTTATTCTGTCTAGACTTATTTTGAGCCTGGAAAAGCCTATATTTTCAGAAACCCTGTTTGTCTGCTCTCCCCATGTTTTTGTTTGTTGTCTTTGTGAGAGGGGGTAGATTTCTGTGTTGCATGCTTAGAGAGGCAGGGTCACGTCTTTTGGATGGGAGCCAGAAGTCAGTCTCACACTGCAGTACTGTTTGTTGTTGAGGGTTACACAGGCTGCAGCTCTGCTTGGTCAAGGAGTAAATGGCTGCGATCTCAGTGCCCAGCAGGGAGGAAAGGCCGGGACCTTTTCAGTCAGTAGGGCAGATGGCCGCTTTGTGTTTTGATTTGAAAGTTGTTGAGAGTATCTGTCTATGCAATGACAGAAGAGGTAGACTAGACTAGAAGAGGTATTTTACAGACTGGGTACAACCACAGCATATATAGACTCATCACACCATAACAAGCCTCCAACTCAGAAACTTTAAAATAAATGTGCACAACAAAGTTATATCAACAGGAAAAACTTGCAATGGCTTCGACCAACTATGCACACACACTTGACCGCCATTCCAAATTGCGGCCTGCTTGGTCACAATGAGAAATGTTTGGACTGACCGACAGACAGCGTGATCTATTGTATACAACTGCTGGTGGCAGCCTCAAAAGAGTGGTCAAATAACTTTAATTTTGCACTACGAATATGCTGTATCTTACTATTCCCAGATTGCAGCTCAATCCCCGTGTATACTCTTCCTGCCTGGTAAACGCCTATGTGTTTCCACCCTTCCAGTTTGTATAAAAGCAACAGCTAAATACCATGTCTTATAATGTAACGAAATAACATAAACACACAATGTCACAAACACTTGAACACTAGAAATGTCAGATTTCTAGTGTGAAAAATGTGGGGGAATTTATCTTCAAAGACTAAGAGCGATCTATAGAGCTGCTGGTCACAGGGAGAAGTCTCCAAGCCCAAGCTGAGATAACCCCGATGACATCATCATGAAAAGAGTACTTCTGAGCTTCATGTGTAAATTAGTGACCTTTAAATAACTATATCAGTAAAGGATTTAATGCTAAACCTGTGAGATCTTAAATCCAGGAAGCCTTTTTAAGTCTACCAATATTAATACAACTAAAATGCATTAGTAAAGGCCGGCTACTGGTTGCTTATATCCTGTGATCCTACCTTTTAGTTTCACCATCAGATAACTGATCATATAGATCACATGCATCTAACAACATCACTTTTGAAGAACAAATCACATTGAAAGGACAGCTTCTTGGGTATTGGGTACTGTAAACTACTAGAGGCAGTCCACATCAAATTACAAATGCAGCTTTACTTCCAGAGCGAGGACCAGTAGCTCCCCCCAGGCCCAGTCTGGCACAGTGACACATATTCGGCAAGATTGAACGGCCAATTGTCACCACATGTGCACATACACACACATACACACACACACATTCGGATAGCCGCATGCACCCATCACCCACTGTAAATTTGATCACTCTAATGTACATTACTGGTGATGGAGTGCGGTGGTGATGGGAGGTGAGGAGAAGAGGAGGGGGGGAAGGGAGGAGAGAGGCAGATTAATACTGGTGAGATGTCTCGTCTCCGTGGAGACGGATGGTGTTGAAAAAAACAATTATCTCTTCTTTGCTAAAGACTAGAACAGGATGTTAGAGCAGCACAGATGCTGTAAGTGTGTCACCAGAACAAAAAAAAACATTTTATTCAGATTAGCAGCAGCGCACACTTGTTTAATACATTATGTAGATGTTTAATTAGGAAATGCCTTTCGAATATTTCCTACATTTATGCACTCTTCTGTTGAGATTTGGATGTCATTTATCATATTTAATGGACACAATGCAACTGGTGTAGAAGTCATTAAAATCGCGAGAGCCTCGAAGAAGGGTGTGAAAAAACCCCTCTCTTATCATTCTTAACGTACACAACTGTGAATGTACAACAGTGTTTCTAACAAAGGGACATTGGTTGCTCAGCTTTCAGCTGTAAAACCTCCCCAGACACCAAGCCACCCACCTTACAAACCTTTCAGTTCACCATCACACCTCATAAGGTAGTCACCCCCATGCATTTCCCTGTAGTATTAGCACCTCTCCGCGGCAGGTGTTATTTGAAATGTTGCTGCATGTTTTAGGCGAACATGTTAACGTCTCCTTTTGGCTTAGAATGTGTGGATTTCTATTGTGTTCATGGCTTTTGGGGATGCTTGATATCAGAAGCGCTGGCATTAAACTACAGGTGAAAGTCGCATTCATTTCATTTTTATTCAGGGTAGTAATTAGGCAGGGAAATTAGTTATCTTTAGATAGCAAAAAAACAAATCCAGCTGTGACTGACGATAGAGGCTGTTTGTCATTTGTATTCATGTGTGACACGTGAAGATGCAGCTGAAGATGGAGCTGAACAAATTATCTGATTCTGGGTGGAGTTCAGAATACTTCTCCCTCTGGAGAGGTCTAACTACACCTACTGTCAGCAGCAGGACCGGACCACTGCTCCTTCCTTCACCAGTTTTATTTATAATCCTTCCTCTGCCTGTCTGTACGTAATGCCTTAAGGAGAAAGAGCAGTCCTGTCAGTCAGCAGTCCCATCGGGGGAGTCGGAGGGGGGGGGTGAGAGACTGTAGAAAGAGTGTGCCTGCCTGTCTCTCCTTCTTATTACTGGGCCGTCAGCGGAGCAGCACGCCCACACACTGCCACTGTCAGATGGCAGGCCGAGCGGCTGCCACCAATTAACCCCCGAGCGAGGTTCTTACCGACGGGCACCAGGAGGCCAGCATCACAGAGATGCTTAGAAGCTGACATGTTGTCTGCATTATCAGAACAAAGAACCCTAATGCCAATGCCACTAACTTGTAACAAATTGTTTTTGTCATTGAAGAGAAGCCATTGTGATAGATGAGGCCCGCTTTGACATTGTTGGAGGATTGTACGATTGCAGACTGAATCCCCACAGAGGATGATTTATGAGTATGTGTGTAAGTTAACACATGTGTGCCCACCCATAACTGTGTGTGTGCACTTCAGAAGAGACAAATAACAATGGCATGGCTCACTGGGTGCGTCCCCACTTTAGCAGCATTCAGAAGCGGCGGCGCTGAGTAGCGAATTGGCGAGGGCAGGGGGGCCGGGCGGAGCAATTTTTCTATTGTCTGTGTGCCAAATGAAGGTTAGAGAACGGCTGAGAGGCGTGCATTGGCAGCCTTTTCAGGCAGGAGATGGGCTGGAAAACAAGTGGAATTCAATTTTCAGGGGGCCCTCATCACTGTGAGAGAGTGGAAGGAACAGAGGGAGAGATTAAACAATATTGTTTGATCGTTTTTTTGCTTTTGAGTTTGTTTACGTATGATGGAGAACAAGCAATTTATCAAATCTAACTGCACAGCATGGAGGCACTCTCCAGGTGAAAAGAAAATACTGAATATATTATCGGGGCTTATACGGTATATAACTGTGTGCTTGGAGTATGGAATCCATCAATGTGAGAATTACTGATTGTGACAGAGAACCTCCTCCTGGGTTGGGAAATGGGCAAAAACAAAGAGATTGTAGACATTTCTTCTTCTTACTGCATTGACATAACCCACGTCTCTGTCCCTGCGTCCTGTCAGCTTTAGTTTGTATTCCTGGATACATAGCTCCTAGCAAAGACACATTTCTGCTCTTTAGTGTTGAACATTAGCATTTTCATTTCTCTCAAACCATAATAAACGGCAGAATCTTTAAGATCAATGGAATTGGTTCTTTAAATGTCCCCCAAGAGCTTAGTTATTTGGGAGGGGATTTGTTATCTAAAGGTCACTGAAAGAAGGAGAATAAAAATGCATTTTTGAAAAGGTCAGAGGTCTCAAATTTGAGCCAGTACAGGAGTTTTCATTTAACGTTAATGGTGAAAAAGGAGTGATGTTATGAATGGAGAACAAACCTCCCTCCCCTCAGCTGAACCTTCACCATGCTGGACTATCAGATACCAAAAAGTGTCTGGTGTACTCTTGCTTTCACACAGGGACCAGCTCAACCTAAATAATAGAACAATGGACGGAGAAGTCTACCGGTCAGTGACCCGTGTCGCTCATTTTCTGAATAATACATTCAATCACATGTAACAGCTTTAATTGTCCTCCTCAGTTTTGACTCCTGAAGCCTCCATTGGGGGTGTCACAAGGGTCAGGGCAGGGAGAGTGAGAAAGGATGACGGATAGTAACTCACTGAGTAGATAAACAAAAAGCAATGTTCCTGTCCTCCCCCTGAACTCCTGCTCACTGACCCCAGCCCAGATGATCACATCCAGGCTCTCTCTTCTTTCTCTTTGAAGAAAAGGGCAGCCTACAAAGAGGACATTCACTCACATGACATCCTCTGAATGGACTTACAACTCCCCTCATCACTCTTTTGTCAGTGCTTTATCATAGATGTTAATAAAGATGTCCTTCAATGTGCCTTCAACTACTTAGCTCAGATGCACTTCAGTGTATTTTTAGTTTTTTCATTTATTTTGTGCATCGTACCAACTATTCTTTACGATACTATACTATAAATCTTGTGAGCATGCTTACTTTTTATCTGCATGATAAAAAGAAGAGATAAGACAAGATATGTTAATTAAAATTACTACATTTTATTTCATCGTCGTTTTTTTTTTACAGAAATGTTGTATATCACACTTTTTCTTAAGGCAATATCGACAGTAGAGGAATTTAAATATCGCCAAACCATACATTAAATTAACATAATATATAGGTTGTATAAGTTGTGTTAACCCATGTGGTTAAACATCGTTTTCTCCTGCCTCCAATCTTTGCTTTACTAAGCTAAGTGTCTGTGTATCAGGTCAATACTTAAGGGACAAACAGGACTGATATCGATCATCTCATCTAATTCTCTGCAAGAAAGGGACAAAGTGCATTTACCAAAATGTCAAATAGTTATTTTAACACATGACATTTGAAATATGCATGTATTACTGTTTTAACTTTGTTGTTTTGTAACAAATATGACTGCTATACAGGGCTGTCTGTCCACAGCTAATCCCACATAATGGCTGAACCAGGAGTCTGATATTGTGCATATTAATGGTTGTATGCTCAAGGGCCTCAGGTGGTTGCACCGAAATTCAAACTTAAAAAAAGAAAACTGCAGACTGCCGACTCTTCACTCCTCAAAACTAGCTTTGAATGTGCTAGGCTAAATACAGGCAATGCCTAGTTTGTTGCAGGCTTTATTTCGCTCTTTGTCACGCTTAAAAAAAACTGACATCCATAGAAATAGTAATAGGAGCATCTGCACATTTGTTTCATATCTGGTATGTTGTGACCCAATAAAAATAGGCTCCATTCGAGATTATTCAATCCCTGTTTTTGTCATCTTCCCCACCATCTTGTCTGAAAATCGTATGAGATTCAACTCTTGTTTTCTAGTTCAAATGTTTCATATTATATCACATTGTATCTGTTGTTCTGTTTCTCTCTACAGCTGTGGCTGCCCAGGCTTGGAGCGGATCTGGGAAGCCGACCTGGAAGCGTGTCACCTGTTCCTGCGAGGCCTGCAGCTGCGGACTCCCAGCTGCAGTGGAGGAGACATGGAAGACCTCCCCACTGCAGAAGTTTATCCTCCGAACCAGTCGGGCACCAAAGAAGAAGAAGACTGCGCCATGCTGACTGCGTTGGGAGGGCGCTGGTGTCCCGAGGCTAACCTACAGAACTCAGAGTTCACCAAGGTAATGCAACTATGTCTCCATAGTTTTTACACATAACACCTATTTTCCACTGAAAGGTCAAAATAGAACAGCTTTTTTTAGATTCCCTTGCTTTTTCCCTTCTTTTTCTGTTTCACCGAATTGTGAAACCTGAGTGTGCCTGCTCGGTCAGTCTTACCACTTAACTGGAGCGGACATTTTCAGTTCAGCTGTTGTCAGAACATAAAAGTCTGTCGGCTACAGCGAGATGAGCAGCAGACTATTAACACTTCAGCCCGGAGGTATTTCTAAACTAGGAAAATGTAGGCGTTGGGGAGGCAATCATTTGGAAATATATTTGGCTTTTTTGAAGAGCCTCATTCAACGTTGTACAGATTTAAGAGTCTCTTTCTGCATGACTGCATGCGCTTAGTAGGAATGATGTGTGTGTGTGTGTGTGTGTGTGTGTGTATGCATGTGCGTGTGTGTGTGTTTTTGCAAGCCCTCTGCTGGACTATCCCACAGTGAGTTGAGGTCCACTGCCTCAGGGCAGAGTCCAACTCATTCTCTCCTCTTCTCACACTTTCCTCCGCCCACGTAGTCTGACAGACTCGCCTAAGATAGGAACAAAGCCACGCAGCCAGTAATAATACAAAAAATAGCACACTTGCCAGACGTGTTTTGTGAGACTATATTTTGTACGCTTGGCTTTCATTTTAAATGTACTTTTTACAGTATGGATTTACTGGACTGTGGCCATAAGCAAATATTTGTCAATCGACTAGTGCTCTTGGCAGAATTTCCACTTGAAAGTTTTAAAACTTCAAGCTGTGAAACTTCCTTCTCACATGTAATTCTCCTACAGTTGCACCCTCTTAACCTCTCATACCTCTTATAGTCTCTCTCTGCAAACATAAATATAAACTTTGCATCAATATCTTCTTTCCTTGCCCTGCCTGACCGCATTTTCCAAACTGCATGGATCCATTTTCTGCTTTTCCCTTTTGTTTCTCTCTGCTTTTCTTTCTCCTCCTAAAGCCCGGCCCCTCCTAACATTTCTCCAAGAACTAAAAAGGTGAGACAGCCCTACCATTCCTCACTTTTGTCTCATACCAGCACCAATACCTTCTGTGTCCCTTTAAGCTAGAATCCCACCATGTAGCAACATGTTTATCTTGGGGCTGCAGAAATACATTTTGTCAAGCATAAACCCTAGAATTTCCAAACATCAGTACTGCTCAATTTAGACATTTTAGAATGACTCACAATTTTGCTTTGAATTTGCACAAAGTACAGTAGAAATAATCATTGTAGTTCATGGACGGAGAAGCAATAGCATGCTCAGTTATTTCTTATTAAAAAATTATTTAGAAAAACGTCCTCTACTATTATTCCTACATTTCCGCCACTTAGTATTTTTCTGCAAATGTAAAGTACGATTTTGACTTCGTTTTTAAGAATATTCAAGGACCCACGTATCAAAAATGTCCTGCTTGTTTGGTAGATAAGAGTCTTTTCATCTCAAGGCCACAGACAAAAGAAGAGTATATTATCAGTTGGATGCCAGAAAATCTTCACAAAACTGCATGTGACAGATTACATGTTGCTGTGAGATGGATGTAATTGGAAAGAGAAAAGATCCAGTCTGTGTGGCTGGTTAAGAATTTGTAGCAAAAAGATCTCAGATACTGTACGAAGAGTTGTGTTTACTGGGGAGCAAAGCGAGGAGGGCATGAAGTTACGAATACCTCACATTTGATTCAAAAATATTAATTAAAACTTTGCTGATTATTATTTGTTGTTGCCTTTCTTCTGTATTCACCCTGAAGCCACAAACAATGTTAGCCTCCAATAGGTACAGTAATTACCGGCTTCCTTAGTGAAGAATGTACAATTACACACTTTGAATAATAACAATGGAAAACCTGCAGTACAGATGAGCCAGTTAATCTATTCTCTCCTTCTCAGTTTTGGTGATGAATAATTACAACCTCTTCTCATTATGATGATGCTGCACACATACAGTACACAGCAAACATAATTGCGTTTTCAATCATTCATGAGAAAGTGTGTGGCCTCAACAAATGTTTCCCTTTTGTTGCAGAAATTGGAGGAGTTTTTGTTCTGCATGGAGGACATTCACCCAGAGGTTGGTAACGATAATACTGTCGCTGTATGCTGGAATGTTATCAGTGTAATTAAAGTGTCAGTTGCATCAACGCTGGGCTGACTCTGACAAAGAACAATCCATTAGTTGACCTCGACTTAAACATGACCTCTGTCGCCTTTTGGACACTCGGATCAATACTGATCTCCATGAGGAGCGTCGGCTGGTCGCTGAACGTCTGAGTCTGCACATGGACCTTTATTTAAGCAGGGGAGGGTTTGCTGAACATGTATTATCCATTCCTCACATCCCTGCTTTAAATTCATACATTTATATTATTCATTCACACCTGGTAGCCAAATAGTACCTGTATTTATAAGGGGAGTGTCCCATACAGGATTTTAAACTACAATACACTGATGTGAGGCTGAAAAAGATGGATACATGTTTTATCCTAGTTTCATAATCGTCTAACATTAGATTTCTCCACATGTGAAGCAATGTGCATAAGGCTTTAGTGGAAGCAAGAGTATTTATAGAGGTGATACCTACTGTAAGTCAAAATCATAAGGAATGGATTACGTAATGGTGTGTTAATCTCTTCTAATGTAAGCTGCAAATGTTAGCATATCTAACTAGCTTATAACCTAGCCATGCGATACTTCCAATGCTCATCCAGCGACCCGGGGTAACTCATTACCTGAGATAACAGAATCATCAATTAGTGCTCCTCCTTTTCTTTACAGTCAGTCAATCAATACAAGTTTATTTATATAGCCCAATATCACACATTTTACATTTGTCTCAGTGGACTTACAGTTTGTACAGAATATGAATAGGACACCCTCTGTCCTTGGAACCTCACATCGGACAAGGAAAAACTTCCAAATAAACCCCCCAGTTAATGGGGGGGAAGTGGAAGAAACCTCAGGGAGAGCAACAGAGGAGGGATCCCTCTCCCAGGACGGACAGATATGCAATAGATGTCGTGTCTAAATTGAAAAGATAATACATTTACAACATAGGTAGTCCAAATGCTTCAAAATGCATGTGACTATAAATAATAAGATGGTGGATGTCAACAATCCTGTGGGCGCTATCAAATAAGTAGTATGGCGAGAATCAGGCAGGACCACAACAAATGTGAAAATACAACAATAAAAGCTAAACTCAACCTCTGTCTTCCTTGTAGGCTAAGTAGCCAAACAGGGTTATGATAGAACAATATACAGGTCTATTCTTGCTTTCTTTACTTTTCACTTACTGTATGATACTAGAATTAACTAAATACAATAGGACTATTTATTTCAATGTTGTCTTAATAAATCAGCAACTGGTGAGGACGCAAACGTCTTGCGACATGTTTCGAGTCATTCCTATGCTCCATGAGTCTCTATGGTATGAGATGAATGACAAAAGAATAATAGATCATTGATGTTTCAAATGCGTTTGAATGTTAGAAATCTGTTGAAGGATTTATCAATGTCTAAAGTCAAGAAAAACTGTCTTGCCCAACAATGTGAGGGCATGCTATAAGGAGTATAACATCAGCAAGCGTGATTTCAACATATTGACACAATGGAACTCACAATTGACGACTCATGCATGAAAACAAAATATGGTGTGTCATTTTAAGATGAGAATAACCTAGAGAACATAGGACTGAGGAAACATAGAAATGCTCATGTGTCTTTAGACTCCTTTTAGAAAAATGTATCATGTGTTATCATCAGGAGCATATCTAAGACCCTTTTTGCAGGATCTTTTTTTTTTTTAAACCAGTTAACTAGCAAGTTATTTGTATTAGTTTTTTGTGAAAATCTACTGACTGTGGTTAGTAATGAATAGCTCGTCTCCATCGGTATGAGAACCAGTTGTTTGTCAGAAGTTTGATAGTAAATCTACCAACATATCATACAACTTGACAGGCTTAGCAACATTAACTAAATGTCAGTTCAGGCTTATGCCCAAGGTATGGGACAGTGCAACGTAACTTTGAATCACATTGGATTTATGAAAACTTAGCTGATGCATCACTTTGTAATGGCTGTTAAATATACTATCTGAGTCTTGATGGTGTTGTGATAGCGCTGTGGAGGAGCGGGATTCTCTGCCTCTCAGTGTCCGACCTCTTTCTCCTTTACATAATGACTTTAAGTAAATGATTTCCACTTAGCCGCTGCCAAGCCGCTGCCCTGCTGCCACAATGGAGATTGATTGGTGTGCATGTGTGCAAGTGTGTGTCTTAGCACAACTCCATTCTCTTGTAATCTCTACTAATTGTTCTTTTATCCTCTCAAGGTCCTTTCTTACATCCCCCTCTTCATACTGATCCACAGTAACGCACACCTATAAAGACATTTAGTACATCCGGCGGCTTTGATTAGATTTGTTAATCAGGTAGTTCTAATAATGAAAGCATGTTCGAGGAGATTATTGCGTCGCCACAATTCCTTACTCCATACTAATTGTACATATAGAATATTCTTATTGCAGTAAGTATAACTAACAGGTAATTAGGTAAAGTACAAGTGACGTCAATCAAACTGCAACTTCAAAATTCACAAAGAAAAAGATTGATATTTTATAACAATGGTCGGTAATTGTGCATTGTGTTACAACGTTTTAAGTGACAAAATATAGTACACTCAAAACTTTCATTATGAAAATTAAACTTTTAATTTCGAGTGAATTGCTGATGGACATTATTGTCCCACAATGAATGTGAGCATTAACGACTTTTGTTTTAGCACTTCACATGGGGTTACTTAGTTTTTACTTAATGACTGATTTATATGTTTAACGAAAGAAATTGAACAAGGATATATTTAAAAATGATAATAAATAAGGTGGTCATCTGTGAATGCTTGTGAGACAAATAAATAAAATAGAATAATTAAGTTTTTAAAACAAAAAAAGCTTTCTCTTTGCAAAGTTTAATTGTCAGTGACATTCTTATCTTATCGATGTTTAAAAGCACATGTATTGTATCATGTCCTGTTTGTATAAAAACTTTAAGTATGTTGATTTCTTGAATACAGACTATAATAGCAGATACTATACGCGTATTTAGTATGGAATTGGGCCATGAAAAACAGTTCCAGATGGTTGTCAGACCTCAAGGATACTTTGTGAGAACAGAAAGGAGTTTTTTTTACTCTTTTTAAATATGTCACTTTGCCAGTGTGAAAACATCCCCAAAACCATTGAGTTGTGCGTAGTACATAATTAGGACACAGCTACAGACAGACCTCATACTGTCACTGCACATATTTGTAAATGACCTTGTAGACAGTCTTATAAACTGATCACTGTGTGGACCTGCTCACTTCCTTGCAGAGCATCAATCTATGATAACAAAAACACTGGTTAATTATAAGCTTGTTTTAAATGAAGTCAGCTACTTTATTGTTCGCCTAAACAATTACAACCCTGAGTGAAATACCAGTGCAATATCATTGCTTTGTATGGCCCGCCGGGTGGCAAAGTGCCGGGCCTAACAGCACCCATGGGAACATGCACAATTACCTGCTATCTCTCACTCATTATTGTGTTAATAACCATACCAGCACGTACAGGTGTCAGAAAAGTGAGTTTAATAACATTAGCGGTGTATCAGGAATCCACGTGGCTTTTTATGTATGCCTGAGATTCTATCGTACAAAGGCAGAGGTAGCAGAGAGAGTCATTTCTATTGTTTTTTATCACCACCTGGTGCAAAATAATATCTTCTGAAAGGTTGTTTAAAAGGTTTGTGTACCAAAGGATGTTTTCAAAAGGTGTCATTCTTCACAGCCAGCTTTTGTCTTCCATCCTGTGTTTGTATTGACTCTACGAATGCTGACTGGAGGCTGTAAAGTATAGAATCAATCAGCTGCACAAACACGGGGCTCTTATCTGGCAAAGAAGATCCTAACCTTGACAAACAAACAGCCCAGTCAATCTATACGTTGACTGTGTAGCTTATTGATATAGGAGCGCAGGGATCCCAGCATCACATAGACCTGTGTCAGTGATTGTTTGTTCATCTAAGTGCCTCAAAACAAGAACATGATGTTTTATTTAAGTTGTTTGTCCTGTGGGCTGTTTTGCCTTCAAGTCTTGCTTAAGTCCTTAATTGCATCAGGGAAGATGTAAGCCTCAGGCCTGGTGTTGTTGTACATTTCCTTTAGGAAGTTACATCACCCTAGAAGGAGTGCTATTCCGGGACAGAGACCATAGACACGACGTGCCAGTGATTGTTGTGACACATCAAAGCTGCAGGGAGTTGATGTGTTCTACCTGAAGCTATGAGTCACATTGGACTATGTTTTTTTGACGAGAACATTAGGTCTGTGTATAATCGTGTCTGCTTTCATAAAGTGCATTTGTGTACTCCTCGCTTGATAAGTGTGAAGAAACTAGTGTCTGCAAAGCGGCCTGTTCTAATTAAGGTTATCTGAATGCTCTGCCCTACTGCACTCTGCTCCTCCAACACCACCATCTTGCCTCCAATACACACTCACAGCATCCTCAGTTGAAGTGCATACATTGCTGAATGTTGTGCAACTCCTACCTGTTAAATAGTGCACATTTTGACACATTTTGGCAGCGTCCTTTTTACTGCACAGCTATCGTCCACTTCAGACTTGTGCCTCAACAGTGTCGAGAATTTAGTGTCAAATGAATGATGGAAAACCTCCTTGAACTACGACAAAAGGCTATGAGAGCACATACTCCTTTGTACCTATGCCCTCCCACTCTCACTCTAACTAAATATATATTCAGTATATCACAAACAATACATAACACAATAATGTTGTGTGAATTCTGTAGCATTGTTCAACATAAAGTTAACTGTGAGCAACAACATGGTCCCAAGAGAGGAAATAGGCAATAGCAATGCTCAGAAACATGGTTACAGCACATTGTTATAAGTGTCTTACACAACTGTCCAGTGTTCTTATTATACTTGTTTTGAAAACCCCATATTTCTCTTTTTTTGCTTGTTATTGTTAGATTCTTGTGTTTATTCCTTTCTATTTCCATTACAGCTTCAATTGCTGATCTTCCCTCCCTTTCATTACCCATCATTTCATCCATTTTTCTTTCCAGGATGGGGGCAGTGAGGCTGCAGATCTGACAGAGCGCTGCGAGCTGATCAGTGACAGAGTAATGACCTTGGAAGATGAATTGCAGACGGCCATACTGAACCGGGATCAGGCCCTCACCCATATCCTTTCACTGCTCTCTAAGCATACATACATCATATAAACTGACTGTTTTCTATCTGTTCGTGTTTCTGTCTCTGTTCATCCATCTTCAGAACCTAGTTTCCTTGAGGCTTTCCAACTCTCAAAAGTACACACCCGAACTTCCTCTAGGCTCACTGTTGTTCTGGGAAGATACCTTTTGAGAAAAATCAACCTGTCTTATCTGACATTATGGGTCCATTCTGGAAGGGGAATTGAAGATAAACTTGGATCAGAGGATTTTCTTTGACAGGCTGGACGTGCCAACCGGAAAATGAAATGGTAAAACTCCGAGCAAGGTTATTAGAGAGTGCTTGATACGGGCTGCCAGGCACCAAGGGCTGAGATTAAAGTCGGCCGGCAGGGGCAGCGCCAGGACAGATAGAGGAATGTCACTCTAATGACTCTGCCCTCGTCATATCGTAATGTCCATCCTTCTGCTGACCCCCCCTCTCTCTCCTCTCCCTGCTCACTTCCACTTGCTGGATCTGGCTCGGAGGAAATTACAATATCCATGATAATGACTCAAATGAAACTGTTGAGGCTGATTACAGGTCACAATACATAATTTCCCGCGCTAATTAGAAAGCTGATTGGAAATAGATTAGTGTGTTTTTCTCCCTCCGCGTTTCCCCTCTACACTGTGAGCTTATTAAGACGGATAGAAAAGGCAATATTTCAACACCAAGATGAAGATAATTTGCCATCTGACCTGTTTTTAATTTTCTGTCACGTCCTATTTCTCTCCTTTAATCACCGGCTGCCAGAAATACTTTCCTAATCTGATGATGTTTATTTCATTTTAGGATCTATAAAAGCTGTGCGTTATGCCGTACACCCTCCACTCTCTGTTGAAGTGTAGCCAGACTTTTTCACATCTGATTAGAGATTCCTGTCCCCTGCTGGGCTGTCAGGGGTCAGTACAGGCTCCTGCACTGTTTGCATGATATCAGTGCATCCTGGCAGAGGATGATAGACAGATTGGCCCGCTCCTCCCCAACTCTCGGATGCAGTGTCCTTACATGCCATTCATCCCGGTCTTTTGTAGTCAATGTAAAAGCGTCACGGACACTAGAGGACACTGAAGACACAGCACAATATTGATGTTGGGTTGCAGAAACTGAACAGACACTGAACTCAGGATTATATTACGGTTGCCATAGTGACAGGAAGATCAAACCTCCAGTCTCTAAGGGTGTTAATTGAGTCCCCTCTCTCAATACAAGGAGGTAGATTGGACAACCGCAGGGACTGGAATTGAAAAAAAAGAATATAGTGTGGTTAGTTTAATGATGGGATAGGTAAGGTAGGCAATATTCGGTAATTCCGACTAAAAACTAGACTGATGCACCTCCTCTTGGCTTTGTTTTCAGGCTTTACAAAATCTAGCCCATTAATTGGAGATTTGGCCAATCACGGGCCATTTCAGGGAGAGGGTGTCGTTGGTGGCTACACACTCAGATGAGTGTTAGCATCTCTTCGGTATAAGCCTGATAGTCTAAAAGTAGCTATTTCAGCATTTGCAACAACTGTATACACTGCAAAGAAACCTGGAAAAAGGATTACAGACTTATCAAAACGAGAGGCTGAATATGTGAGAAGTGTTGCTGAGATTGAGAGCAACAATTTCTCTTAAAAGGAAAATAATTGTATAGAATTGTTATATAATGGCATCAGGCTCACAATCATAGAGATGATGTTTGAATTAATGGCTGCTCCTACAGCTTACTTTATGAACTTTATGAAAGCCAGTGATCGTCTGGTGGGATGGGCTTAAGACAGAGAAGTGAGAGGAAGAGAAATGTATTTCAAAAATACTGTTTTTTTATTTCTGAAAACTGCCTAACTTGGGGTACCAATTGAAAAAGCTAAATGCTGAAAGGTTACTATAGATTGTCTTGTTAAATTCAGCCAGAAAATGACACAATATTTAAAGATCTATAACATGATTTTGAACTTTTGTCCCATTTGGACCATGTTGCTTTAAACGTGATGCGAACCGTCTGCAGTATTTATGAAAAGCTTTTTTTATGGTTGGTTAATTATGAATGAGGACAATCTGTGTCCATTCAGACAGTAAAATGAGCCATCAGGCCCCATCTGCCATCAAAGCCGTCCCTTTGATTTGCCACTTAAGATGGACACTCACACTATTAATCCGAGTTTCTAAGCAGGTTAAACAATCCCCTCAACTGATGACAGCCTCTATCCCGTTTCATCGATGGTTTATGAATAATTTAACTGGGCAGTCTGTTTGTTTGGTTCCCCACACCGGCTCCCGGTTCCACAGACGAGATGAGCTCATGAATACTGAATTGGATGGGGTTAAATTGGCTATGACTTGATGATCTGTCCCAGTAATCCATTTGGTGGCCAAATTGGAGATTGATGACTTCATCACGTTATGTCTGTCCTCTGGTGTTACCATTAACCATCCTGGGCCACAAGTGTCACATTTGCCCGGAGATTTGCCTGCTGGCATGTTTTCTATTTACATGTTTTTATGTGACTCTTAGTTTGTGTCTGTAGCATCAGATTCTTCCTTAACTCGTGCCGCACAGTCGTTGGAAAAGGAGGTTCAGGAAGTAAAAGCTACTTTACAAACCATGCTTGAACAGCTCCAAGAGGAAGAGGAGGAGGAAGGGAATGAGTTACAAGATGACGACCTCATGGAAAACGGGACAGAGGAAGAAGAAGAAGAAGTGGAAGAAGAAGAAGAGGAGGAAGAAGAAGAGGACCAATACTTCAGTGACAGCTGGGGCATATGAAATGAATGCTGTGTGTTTTATGACCACTCACAGACAGACCGGCTCTCCGAGAGTCTGACCTCAGCTTTGCAGAAGGAGTGACCCCACATCCATTTACTGCCGAGCCTCACTCAGCCTCACAACCAGCCTCTGGTACTGCTGAAAGTTCCAGAACAAAGCCTTCGAAAGTCTGTAGTCTTTTATACATATAAAACAGGAAAAGCAGGAAGGATTTTGATAAAAATGCAAAATATAAGACACTTTAATGCCATTTGTTGCCTCAAAGCCAGGTAAAGAGTGCCTTAAGCCACGTGGCGATTTATTTTTTAATTAAGATGTTTTGAAGACAGGATCAGCTATAATGTGTCATTTTGTATTTTCAATGTTTACTATAAAAGCATTTCCAATTTTAGGTGATCATTTTGATTAAGGGTTTTTCCTTAACAATCCAATTGAGTCTCAAAAGTTAGAAATGATTAGCCAGCCTTAAAGCGAGACTGTGTAACTTTTGATCATACAGAAAAGGCTCAGTAATGTTAGTTACACAGCAACAATTCAAATATAAGCCAAGACTAGCCACTATATGTTACGGAAAAGTTGCATCAACGAAACCTGTGTATTGATTTGAGCAAGGCTGTGGTGCATTTCTCATGTTTTTTTTGTTGTCCAAGTATGAATTTGTTATTGCTTCTTTCAAAAATGACATTTTAAAATTGTATCAAAATTCGATAAAAAAAACTGAAGATACAAATGTTTTAAAATAGCCAACTCAAGCTGAAAAATGAGCAATCACTCACCAAAACCACCTGTTTTCATTTGTTTAGGTGGACAACCAAAACGTCTTTTACTGGTAACAGTTGTGCACATAAACTTAAATGTATGCTTCTTTTTTAGGTCAGCTAGGCACTGTGTGTTTTCCGTACGATTGGACTTCAGTTAAATGTAATTTTGTCCATGAAATAACTCATTTGTGGTGCTACAGAATGTGAGCTAACTTGAACACTTTATTATTTTCATCTTGTTGAAAATGCAATATTTAGATTTTTCTTCCACCCTGTCTTAAAGCACTGTATGCTTAAAAGGATGCTCTGTATTTCAAAATACATCAGTCACAATAGTGAAATTGTGACATATGCATGAAGGATGTATTGAAGGATAACATATCAGTGGAAGTGCTTGCAACTGCTGTTTCTTTTTCTTAAATAATTGTTTTTCTGCCACTGACAAGTGTTTTTATTTACTTTATGTCAGCTCATAAAAGGGTTATTCATACCACTGGGTGTCAGTTTACTTTTGCAAGAAACATTTTCGTAATTCCACCCATAATCATGTTTTTTTAATTTACTGTGCAGCTTGCTGTATCATATTTTATATTTATTCCTTACTGCATCTCACTAATTAAAGCATGTACCATTCCAGACTAATGCTGTGTCCTGCTGTTTTCTTCTTGTATTGAGTTACAGCCCCTCTGCTCATTTCCCCTCATATAAAATGTGCGGGCATGCTGCCAGGCAAGTGGGGGCAGCAGTGACATGTAGAAGATATCAATACGGTAATAAAGGTCCTCTAGTGAGGTCTTTAGGGGATACATGGGCTTCTATTGTTATCTCGCCTCAGCAGCGCTGGTGTGGCTAATTGGGAGGCAGCCTCACAGAGGACATGGGGGGGAAATGGGTTTATGGTGCTTTGTCTCCATCTAATTCACCCTGTATTTTTGGAGCAGGGCGCTGTTGGGGGATCCTCAGGGGCGTGTCTGCAGTCCTGTGCTCTGGGCTGTAAACACAGCTGAGTGTGCAGGGTTTTTCCAGCAGCACAATGGGACTTTCTAACTGACAGCCAGGTAGCAGTTGTCAGGCCAGAAGTCTCCACATCTATCAGTCTCAGGCTGTGTATAGACAGAGCCTGGCACACACACACCTTCCTGTCAATCACCCCCACCTCATAATTGAATCTATGCTTGTGCCATGCGGTGCCCTGCATGGTCACTCTGCTCATAAAATGGCCACGGAGAAAAGCCTAGATGGTTTTCAGCAGGCAGATACAGCTGGGTAAGATGTTTCCTGATGTAAAATAAAGCACCATGCAGTCTGAGGTCCTTTGTCTCTGCAAGGTGGTTGCTATGATATTGCGAGTGTACATTTATTTTTTTATATGGTATTATTATAATCTTTTCTCTTTCCATATATTCCAGCCCCCCACTTAATTCCTGTTGCTGATGTCAGTGGTAGATTTACGACTTGATATTCATAGTTTTCTTTAAAACAATGGGTCCTTTATTTCAGATAGAGGCGGAAAAAAGCAGGCTGTAATTACCACTGTCGTTAAATTACATTGTTGCAGATTTGTATCAGCTGTAGCTATATCTATTTAACCTAGTGTTATTTGATTCAAGAATAATGAAAAACTATTCATAGAGCTTGTGCACATACATTTTGTTATCTGGATTACCAACCCACACACACACTATGAAATCAGTCATTTCTTGCTGGGCCGCCTCGGTCCGAAACCATTGGAATCAACAAGCTATTCAGATGTGACTCCACTTCCTATGTCCCATGCAGGCTCAGTAAAATAAACCAACCCCAGAAATGAGTATATCCACCCAGGGCTTGAGAACTATCTGAGCAAATGCTGCACCATATTTTTTCTAGTGAGCAATTCAGAGCAAATAAGGCTCTGTGAGACAGGTGCTTAAACCGAGCGTTACAGACAGAGTGCGAATACAGGTATATTCCGAAAGACACTATGAGGAAAATAATTAGTTTGAGAAATGAGCATATGTCATCTTTAAAAAATGGTCTCTAGCTAACTTGTATATGTTTCCAGACTTCAAAATGACAACACTCTAAAAAAATCAGTTCTCACTATGCATTTGATTCCTAAAATATTAATTATTGTGCTCAGAATCTATTGCTAAAGCTACATTTCCAAGGCAAAAAAAAAGCTTCCCAGCAGCTTCATGCAAACCACCTGACATGTGGAGAAATCTAAAGCTTGACAGACCTGCCGTGCCTAGTTACGGTTGCTAAGCTTTGACAATTGCTGTTCGGGGGAGCAGTTTGGCAAATGGTCAATTTGGATGGTCGCTTGGCAGTTTTTTTGTTCATGCAGAAAATAACTTTTTACATTTAATAAATCATACAGTCCACATAATGACATTTTATACATTTTCCAGTGAGGTGATATATACGTTTCCAGTACTAATCTATTATTTTAAAGAATTTTCATTAGTCATTATTTCATACACACACATGCAAGTGATGTTCCACTCCATATTCACAAAATTCTCTGGATTTATGAATAATATTTCATGACTGAATGTGACTGAATGAATGATTTTAGGAGTGTGTCTGTATCAGGGGATTTGGGTTTGAGATTTGGATTTGTTTATTTGATTCCCTGCTGAGTTGTTATGTTGTCTGACAGGTACAAGTACAAACTCTCTGAACCATAGGAGAATAATAGATCACGCCGCAGATTTTCCTCTCGCTAGCGACAGACACATCCAATGAATGCAAATTGAGCTCTTTTTTCTGTACTCATGCATTTGACTTTCTCAGGGATCCCTGTATGCTCCTCTGAAACTGACACCTTTGCTATGTGTGAGCGACTGCATGTCAGTTCTAGTCATTGACTCAGTGAAGTTAAATCTCCTGAGAGGTGTTTTTGTACAGAGCAAAACTGGACACTGAACTCACTGTACCTTACTTTAGAGCGCTCATTTGAATTCACTTTGTATTTCACTTAACTGTTCAATAAATTCAACTTAGCAATTAAATAGAAAGGAAATTCCTGTGGAATTAATAAGCATTTTAATCGTTTGATTGCAAGCCTTCCCAACTCAAAATCTGCATAGGAAGTATGGCACAAATGAAAAACAGAGCACACTGAGCAGAGACAACAGGAAATGGCCTGCATTACTCTTTTTCCGGTGGGCTGATCTTGCCGTTGGAAATCACACTTAATTATAAACACTGTGCCGGTGGGAGCTGCAGTCTCTTCAGAAACAGACTATTTCCATCACTTAGGCTTTATGAGAAATCACAGGATTGGAGAAAAGGCACTCAGAGGCGTACGCACAGATGTACTTTCATCTCCGTTCTGATATGTCCAATTTACAACGCTTGACCTTTCAGAAATTACACATGGAAGAACTGAGAGACATTTAGAAAAACCCAGGAGTTTGAGAGAACAAAGTGGAATAAAGTGTGCGTGCAGCATGTGCCTCGACATGTGCAGGGAGAGATACTGATTCTGCTGAAACCCAATCAGAAGTATTACTCATTAAACCTATTTAATCATTCAGACTGAACTTGGAATATTAGCCTGCATGCGATCTATCTGAGCAGGAAGACCCTGAGGAAAAAATAACAGAAAGCCAAATTAAAAGATATTTAAATCACTGATGATTCAAGCTTCTGATATTCCTTATTAATGAAAGGGTCTGAACCACTGGAAACTGGCTGATGAACACACTTTGCTGAGTAGAAGGCCACTGAAGAACATTACTGTTTATTAGCACCATGGGGAAAATAAGGTCCTTTCCAACTTTATTATTAGAACATACGGCACAACAGTGATGCGACCAATTCATGTTTTATCTCCCATTTTCTTGCTATAGCATTAAATATGTGGTGTATTTTTCAGCTTTCATTTGTTTAGAATACATCAATTAAGAATTATTCGTTTTGAATGGACAAAAAAAGAACCTCAGGCAAACGTAATACTGCATAAGGAGCTTTATAGGTATGGCTATCTTTGCAGATTTGATGTACAGTATGGTTAGCATCTGATGTCTTAGCATGCTAATATCACCACGCCGCATGATGCTTTGATAATATTTCCCACCCTAGTTCTATTAATATTCTTCTATGTGCGGGACACTGCTACACATTAACTTATGTATCGTACTTTTTAGAACTGGTGCAATATTCAGGTTATTTTTGCATTGTCCCAATAACCAGTCTTCTCTCCATAAACATACTTTTATGCACACTTCCTCAACTGCACAAAATACATTTCGAACTCACTTGAGGTGGTGTTTGTAGTGCTAAATTCATCGGCAAGGCTACTACAATCTTTTTTTTGTTGCTTTGCCTCTACGACATTAAGAAAGTTCACTCGAAACTTAAATGGAAGAATTACTATTGTGAGTGCAAATTGCTTTCATTAGAGGTCATGTTGCTTAGGTGGCTTTGCTAAATATTGCGATACTAAAAGGAGAGTATTACAACAATTACTTGAATTCCTTAATGTTGTCTTCACTACATAAATCTCTACCTGCATCTGTCTGTTCATCTAGTTACACTTTTGAGAAGGCATACATCATAATGTAACGTCATAACCAGAGCAATACAAATCTAGCTGAAATTTAAATTATAAATGTAGTGGAAATATATAGGATGGATGTCGTTCCTAGTGATGAAACTGCAGTGAAATCTAGAACAAATAATCCACTGCTGTGATGTAAATATAGCTAAAATGTCATAGAAAAATGAATCACATGTCATTTTTACAGTGTAAACATGAAATATTACAAATAAAAATGTTTGCAAATGCATTCTAGAGATGCCATTATTATAGGAGTGGGGAATGAGGGAATGTGGTGGGGGGAATTAAGCCCATGACTTAAGAAGGCTGGCTCCAGCATTCATCCTGGGATCAGCTTGTTATGTTTACAAGTCCTTTTTGTTTTACATAAAACGTGCTAAATTGTCTGTATTTTGTTAAGATAGCAGACTTAAAATGAGTAAATGTGTTGCAATTCAATTCCGAGTAAAGCTGAAGGAATATCCTGAATACATGTTGAATAAGAAATCAATATTTCTGAATAGTGTCGCACTCTGTGTATTTAATCCATGTTTGAAGTCTAACAAGTGCTCATGTCAAACTGCTCCAAAATGGGTTTTCTCAAAGCAATCGCTTTAAAAGCTTAATCTTGCTTCTCTGCCAAAAAGCATCAGAGTAATAAGATCCAAGTCAAGAGGAACTTTGTGTGACTTGTCTTTCGAAGGATTTACAGTTTCCCCGTTCCTTTGTGAGACATCACTGTCAAACATTAAAAAACAGTTCTGACTGTTTTTGAAATTAAAAACCTTGTTTGGTTTGGGCCAAGAGAAGTTTGTGCTGCCACGTGTAATATCTAAAGAAATGGGATACCCTTTTCTTTTTTGCAGTGGAACCAGCAGCGGAAGCAGCAGAGAATTGATTTTTACTCCCATGTCCAAGGAGGAAAAACATATTGTTGGTAAGTCCTCCGGGGAGCGCTCCTTTATTTAGATCTACGGTGGGGCACTTCCTACTAGAAGCCCAGACAGCAGTTCACCTTGTAACATCCCTAGGGGACATGGCTGTCACTGGAAAGCTGAAATATCATGCCAGCCCTGCCATCCTTCCCACTTAGTCTCAAAAACAGGCAGGTACC